GCAATGGTGTGATCTCACTGCAACCTCCACCTCCACATCCCAGGTTCAAGTGATTTTCCTGCCTCAGCCTCCTGAATAGCTGGGATTACAGGCATGCACCATCACACGCGGCTAATTTTGTATTTTTAGTAGAGACCGGGTTTCTCCATGTTGGTCAGGCTGTTCTCAAACTCCCAACCTCAGGTGATCTGCCCGTCTCTGCCTCCCAGAGTGCTGGGATTCACTTTGGGAGGTCGAGGCGGGTGGATCACGAGGTTAAGAGATCGAGACCATCCTGGTGAACATGGTGAAACCCCATCTCTACTAAAAATACAAAAATTAGCTGGGCATGGTGGCGCATGCCCGTAGTCCCAGCTACTCAGGAGGCTGAGGCAGGTGAATTGCTTGAACCCAGGAGGCGGAGGTTGCGGTGAGCCGAGATCGCGCCATTGCACTCCAGCCTGGGTAACAAGAGCGAAACTCCGTCTCAAAAAAAAAAAAAGTGCTGGGATTACAGGTGTGAGCCACTGCGTCCGTCTTGGCCTCATTTCAGAGCAGACTCAGCTGGGGACCATTTGACTCCACAAGGGGCATTTGGCAATAATTGGGCACATTTATGGTTGTCAAAGGGGGTTATGACTGGAATCTACTAGATAGAGGTCAGAGATGCTGCCCCTGTCCTTCAAGACAGCACCCCACAGGAAAGAATCATGCAGCCTATAATGTCTATGGTGTCAACATGGAGAAACTACCTTAGAAAAAAGGAGCAGTCCTGGCCGGGCGCGGTGGCTCAAGCCTGTAATCCCAGCACTTTGGGAGGCCGAGGCGGGTGAATCACGAGGTCGAGAGATCGAGACCATCCTGGTCAACGTGGTGAAACCCCATCTCTACTAAAAATGCAAAAAATTAGCTGGGCATGGTGGCGCGTGCCTGTGGTCCCAGCTACTCAGGAGGCTGAGGCAGGAGAATTGCTTGAACCCAGGAGGCGGAGGTTGCAGTGAGCCGAGATTGTGCCATTGCACTCCAGCCTGGGTAACAACAGCGACACTCTGTCTCAAAAAAAAAAAAAAAAAAGAAAAGAAAAAAGAGCAGTCAGGCACGGTGGCTCACGCCTGTAATCCCAGCACTTTGGGAGGTTAGATCACGAGGTCGGGAGTTCAAGACCAGCCTGGCCAACATGGTGAAACCCCGTCTCTGCTAAAAATGCAAAAAAAAAAAAAAAGAAAAGAAAAGCCAAGCATGGTGGCATACGCCTGTAACCCCAGCTGCTTGCTTGGGAGGCTGAGGCAGAATTACTTGAACCGGGGTGGCAGAGGTTGTAGTGAGCCGAGATTGTGCCACTGCACTCCAGCCTGGGCAACAGAGCAAGACTCCATCTCAAAAGAAAAAAAGGAGCAGGCTAGGCATGGTGGCATGTGCCTGTGGTCCCAGCTACTCAGGAGGCTAAGGCTGGAGGATCACTTTAACTGAGGAGCTGGAGGCTGCAGTGAGCTGTGATCGCAGCACTACACTCCAGCCTGGGCAGCAGGAGGGATCACTTGAGGAGTTCAAGACCAGCCAGGACGACAAAGCAAAACCTCATCTCCTCCAAAAGAGAGGGAGAGGAAAGACCTAAGGAGGGACTCGGAGAAGGGTCCAGGTTCCAGCAGGGGGCAGGGGATCAGGTCGGAGAGGTCTTTATGGGATGAAGGGATGGAGAAAGGTCTTCAGGAGGAGGCAGAGCTTTTCATTTTTATTTTTTTGAGACAGTCTTGCTCTGTTGCCCAGGCTGGAGTGCAGTGGCTCGATCTTGGCTCACTTCAACCTTCACGTACCAGGTTCAAATGATGCTCCTGCCTCAGCCTCCCAAGTAGCTGAGAACATAGGCATGGACCACCACACCCGGTTTTTTTTGTTTTGTGTTTTATTTTTAGTAGAGACACAGTTTCACCATGTTGGCCAGGCTGGTCTGGAACTCCTGACTTCAGGTCATCTGTCCACCTCAGCCTCCCAAAGTGTGGGGATTACAGGGATGAACTGCTGCACCTGGCTGGAAGGAGGCAGGGTTTAGACTCGGGCCGGAGGAGGGGAATCCCTGTCCCTCATCTGTGGCCTCTGCGTCTTCCTAGGATCACCATTAACAAGGACACCAAGGTACCCAATGCCTGTTTGTTCACCATCAACAAAGAAGACCACACACTGGGAAACATCATTAAATCGTAAGTTTCTGGTCACAGGCTCTTAGGGGCTATGTTTAATGGGCGCCTCTGGGCAAAACAGAAGTTACAAGATTTTCCTCCATCTCTCTGAGCTACACAGGAAGTCCTTCTGGGGACTTGCTCTGGGCATTTTATAATGGTGGTACCTTTTTATCAAAATGACACTGACCTTCGTGTCTTCACATAAGCTACGCTTTTGTAGGGGCTTATTCTGTAGACGAACGTGTGCATTTACTTTTTTTGAGAGGGAGTTTTTGTTCTTGTTGTACAGGCTAGATAGAGTGTAGTGGCGCAATTTTGGCTCACTGCAACTTCTGCCTCCCAGGTTCAAGCAGTTCTCCTGCTGGGACTGCCCTGCTAATTTGTGTGTTTAGAGGTGGGGTTTCACTATGTTGGCCAGGCTGGTCTTGAACTCCTGACCTCAGGTGATCCACCTGCCTTGGCTTCCTAAAGTGCTGGGATTACAGGCGTGACCCACACGCCTAGCCTTCCATTCACTGTTAAGTGCACGTTCTGTAAGTGAATGAGAGCAGGTTCCAGCAGAGCAGGCCTGTGTGTTCATGGGCTGAGGGGCACTGAGAAGCAGTCAAGATTAGCTCCCCCAATGCCACCCCTATTTGTGACTTCAGTGCCACCTGGTACTGTTAAGATGTATGTGGCAGAGATGAGAATTTCTGTTTAACAAGGGAAAGAGGTAGGGGAGCTCTGTGGCTGTCCAGGGCCAGCTAGGTGCCCGGGCTTGGTTAATGGGTGTTCCTTTACACCGCTGAAGTCCTAGCTGGGTGGTTTGTCAGGAATGTGACTGCCACTTCGGCCCAGAGACTTGTCATTTCACTGTAGACTTGGCTCTTCCCTCTGGTGCCATCCGTGAAGCCATGCTGTGAGCGGGCTGTGCCCAGGCACAGGGATGGAGGGCTCCTCCCCGGAGTCCAGCCAGGGCAGCCCCTGTGCTCTCCTCCAGCCCAGTGTTGCCACCTGTGCACGGGTGCCCCTCGTGGTGCTCGCAGCACCCTGAGCTGCTCAAGAGGAGACCCCTGCGTGCCCAGGGCACAGCACACGATGCTGACCAGAGGACAGACTTCCATGCCACTCACTGCTCAGAGCCTGGGCCCTCCTCTCCTTGCTGCCTTTATTTGCCGTGGGATGTTCTTTTTGGGTCCGATTTATTGAACACGGGCTGGACATTCACTGCCTGGGAGATCTCTTTGCCAGCCCTGTGGTTCCTTTGTGGGAAGAGGTTGCTGGAGTCTGTTTCCTGCTCGGGTCCTTCAGCCTTAGGGGTGCAGGGAGGGGTGTGTATGTGGCTTCTCCCCTTCAACTTCATGGATGCAGGGTGTGTCAGAGCTGGGGGTGGGGTGTTGCCATATGACGTATCTTCCTGAAAGCATTGCTTTCCTTGAAGACTCTTGGGGGTAAAAAAAAACTGGGGGAAATATTTGGCTAGAAAGCCTGTTCTTTCACTCTGAGTCGGCTTCTGCCCGGCCTGAGCCCAGAGGGCACAAGGCTAGACTCTCACACTGTCTGTCCCTGGACTTCAGACAATTGCTAAAGGACCCGCAGGTGCTATTTGCCGGCTACAAAGTCCCCCACCCCTTGGAGCACAAGATCATCATCCGAGTGCAGACCACGCCAGACTACAGCCCTCAGGAGGCCTTCACCAACGCCATCACTGACCTCATCAGCGAGCTGTCCCTGCTGGAGGAGCGCTTCCGGGTGAGGGCAGGGCCTGGAGGGCAGGGCGGGCTGGATGCTGGGCCCCTGTGCCAAGCTGGCGACAGCCCTGGGCTGTTTCTTTGGAGAGGCGGTGCTGATGGAAGAGCAGGGACTTCTTTGCAGGCTCCAGGCTGTGTGGACTGTGGACTGAGGGCTTGTGGGGTCCAGGCCTGTGGCTCCTGTCTGCCCCGTGGGACTTCCGTAGTGCTGCAAGGTTCCTCTCCTTCTGTGGGCTGGATCAGAGCCTGGGACCTGCTATCATTTGGGGCTGTTCTTCTGAGTCCCTTGTCTGTAGTTGGCAAGGCCTGGTCCTTCCAGGCCTCTTGCTGGGAGGCAGCTGACCCCAGAGGTAGGGCCACGCCTGTTAGCAGGGCACCTGGGAGTCTAGAGGGGAAAGGGCCGCAGCTTGGGGGATTTTCAGTGGGAGTCGTCTGCTCACCAGGAGGCCTCTGTGGTGCCTGAGTCCCGCTGGGGCTGCTGCAGAGAATGGCCAGGACCGGGCTGGGCCAGCTGGGAGGGCCATCGGCTGCCCCACTGTCCTGGGGAGTGTGGCCCATGGCTGCCCTCCAGGAAGAGCCTGGCCAGGGGATGCTGGGCTCGTTTCCAGCCTCTGTTCCAGCTCAGTCTCCACCTTCTTCCTCTCTCCCAGGTGGCCATCAAAGACAAGCAGGAAGGAATTGAGTAGTGGGCCGGAAGGGGCTCTGCTCAGCCTGTGAACCCGGTTCCTACATGCGCCTGACCCTCCACCGAGAATGGCCAGTCCCAGCCATGGCCCACCTTGCGGCACCCCCTCACCCTGACGCCAACGTGTCTTACACAGATTCTCTTTTATACTCTTAATAAAGTATGGCAGGACAACACCTGGATGTGGACTTCAGCAGCGGCAACTTCACAAGCACACCGTCAGGCTTGACGCAGGCAGATGACCTGTTTCAGGGGCCTCTGGTTGGTAGGGACGAACTCATTCTGCACCAAAGCTCAGGAGCTGCCAGGGAGGCAGTGCTGAGCCGGGGGAAGCCTGCAAACCCATGAGCTCCCATGACTCTCTGCTCTAGAAGCCTCAGCTGCCGGGCCAGCCTGTCCATCAAAGTAGGAACACCTTTCCACAGGCTTCTCGACCACAGAGTTTAATAAAAATAGTCAGATTGACAGGGACACCCCCCACCCCTATCACCCCAGAGCTGAATAAGTTAGCTGTGTCCCTGGTCCTTTGCGACGCATGAGGCTACGGCCTCCCCCAGATGGCTACGATGTTGGAGTCTGTCAGGGCAGTGAGGTAGGTGAAGGAGGCATTGGCCACCACCGTGTTCACCATGGTCTTGGTCACCGCCTGGCCAAGGGCCCAGGGCTGGGGCCACTTCAGGATCTGGTGGGGAGAGAGGAGGGCTGGGCTCCTGCTGCCCAAAGGCAGGGCCCCTGACCCCTTGCCAGCCCGAGCCCAGGCGGAATGAGCTGGGAGGTACCTGTGTGGGGGCCTGCGGGGCCGCTGGCAGCGCGGGCGGCTGCTTCAGGATGTTGCTGACATCGTAGAGCCACACGTTGCCCTCTTCATCCCCACAGAGCACGATCCCCTTATCTGCCAGGACAGAGGTAGAGCCTGAGTGGGGGCAGAGCTCCCAGAGGCCCTGCGGGGATGGGGCGGGCACAGGCTCACCAGGACAGGTGCTGAGCGAGAAGTAGGCCAACTCGGTGGGCGACCACTGCAGCCATGCCAGGACCACCACCGCCACCGTGGACTGGCTGCCTCGGCCACCCCACGTCTGCCTCCAGCTCCACAGGCAGATGGTGCCCTGGCCGCTGCCCTTGGAGGCTGTTGGGGAGAATTGAGAACTGTACAGGGCAGCCCCTCCTTGACACCTGCTCCCACTGGAGACCCTCAGAAGCCCAGCCAGAGACAAGCGACCCATCTTCGTGCCCAGAAGCCAGGCTGTCGCCGAGCTGGGCTCACTCACCCACGACGTCCTCATTCACAAATGCCAGCCCATCCACTCTCCGTCCGGAAGCCTCGGAGCCCTCGGAGAAGACGAATTCTACTTCACACACCCTGTGGGCAGCAGGAGATACTGGTCAGCCACCCCCTGCAGATACAGAGAGCTGCCCACTCACCCGGGCATCTGCGGGGCACCTACTGGGGGCCCTGACCTGCGTGAAGGCTGCATAGAAGTTGCTACTAAAGAGACAGTCTTGGCCCCAGGATGGTTCAGTTTGCCCTGGCAGGGGGAGCCAGCACCTGAGTGTCCCGAGTCACAGTAGTGGCCCAGAGGCTTGAGGGGTGGCTCTTCTAGGATAGGGCTAGGCGAGGTGGTCAGAAAAGGCTCTGGAGTGAGCCAGTGCCTCTGGGACCAAGTGTGAGATGAGCAGGGGCCTGGCCCTCCCGGCAGCCAAGGCAGGCAGGTGTTTCCAGGCCACAGCCCAGGGGACTGTCGGGGGCAGCTGCTCTGACTCTATAAAGATACTGGGAGGACAGGCGCAGTGGCTCACACCTGTAATCCCAGCACTTTGGGAGGCCGAGGCAGGCGGATCACGAGGTCAGAAGTTCGAGACCAGCCCAGTCAACATAGCAAAACCCCATCTCTACTAAAATTATAGAAATTAGCCGAGCTTAGTGGCGGACGCCTGGAATCCCAGCTACTTGAGAGGCTGAGGCAGGAGAATCACTTGAACCCTGGAAGCAGAGGTTGCAGTGAGCCGAGATTCTCACTGAACTCCAGCCTGGACAACACAAACTCTGTCTCAAAAAATAAAAATAAATAAAAATCCAACTCTCACTGTGGCTGAGGAAGGCCACCTCACTCTGGGCTGGGTCCGCCCAGCCTGTGGCCACAGGGCCAGCCGGCTCCCCCACCACTGACCTTTAAACATAGCGTTTCCTCCCTCCACCTGCTGACTGCCTCGCCGGGCTCCCAGGGAGGAAAGCTGAGCCCCAGAACCTATTCATCCGCCTCTGGTCCCCTCAGCAGAAGTCCCGAGGCCCCCATGCTGGCATCCATTACTTTTTTCCCCTCTCCTTCAGAGTTGGCATCACACGGTGGGGTTTTGGTTGGCCACCTTTGCTTAGCGTCTGTAGGCTCGGGGGCCCCAAGAGGACAGGGACCCAATGCCCAGCCCTGTCCTGGAGGCCTTCCAGGTGGGACAGTGAACCACAAAGCCTCAACATGGCACTCCAGAGCCTGCCCGCCTGCCCTCCGCTAGCCATCAGCCCCCTTGACAGATGAGGACATCACACTAGCACAGAGGACCATCACACTGATGAGTGGCAGGAGTGGGCTGGGTCACGTGGGCATAGCACAGTGCTCAAGTCCCAGGTGAAGGTGAGGTGATCATGGCCCAGTCCCACAGCTGAACACAGGGTGAGGACGGGGTTGCAGAGTCCTTTCCTCCGGAGCCTGGCAGGGAGGCGGGACAGGCCAGCTCTGGGAAGAGGCCTCTGAAAACAACCCTTATGGTTGCCCAGGTGTGCCTGGGCTGCTGTGAGCCCACCTGGGTCGACAGCGCCCTGTGCAGAGGCCTGGCTTTTTTTTTTTTTTTTTTTTTTTTGAGACAGAGTTTCGCTCTTGTTACCCAGGCTGGAGTGCAATGGCGCGATCTCGGCTCACCGCAACCTCCGCCTCCTGGGTTCAGGCAATTCTGCCTCAGCCTCCTGAGTAGCTGGGATTACAGGCACAAGCCACCATGCCCAGCTGATTTTTTGTATTTTTAGTAGAGACGGGGTTTCACCATGTTGACCAGGATGGTCTCGATCGTTCGACCTCGTGATCCACCCGCCTCGGCCTCCCAAGTGCTGGGATTACAGGCTTGAGCCACCGCGCCCGGCGGAGGCCTGGCTTCTAAGGCACCCCCTGCGCAGCCTCACCTTCTCTTCTGGGGCTGGTCCAGCCGCACGTCCCAGCAGCAGCAGCCGCCCTCACAGCCGGCCAGCAGGCGGGCATCCGGGCAGGAGGCGACAGGACAGAGGCGCAGGGGGATGGAGGTGGTGTCCAGCGTGAGCAGCTGGCTGCCGGTGGGCGAGGGGGAGCAGAGTCAGCGCTGGACTGAGGTGTCCCTGCCCCAGCAGCCAGCCCCTCCCCAGCCTCGCTGGAAGCATCACCTGGCCTGGAATTCATAGTCCTGGTTGGGCATCCCAATGTCCCAGAGAATGATCCGCTTGTCATAAGAGGCCGCTGAGGAGGGAGTGGGGCAGGGGAGAGGTGGCCCTGAGGTGGCACTGCTCCCTCCTGCCGGCTGCGTCCCAGGCTGAGCCCGAGGTCCCAAGGCCAGCCCCTCCGAGGCAGGGAGGGCAGGCCGAGGCTAGGAGACAGGGACACTCCTGGGCTGGGCAATCCGTCTCTTCTCTCCAAGCTGATGCTGTGGCTCCGGCGGCCACCACCCATGGCTCACCCATCCCCCTTGCCAGGGGCATCCCCCCAGGTCACTGACGGGACAGAGTGACCCAGGCTGCTGAAAAACTCCAAGGCCACAGAACAGTCTGTGGATAAAGCCAAGACTGAAAGCGACAGGGCTTCCTACCAAAGCTAGAGGTGGACTGGTGCCAAGCCCGAGCTCACGGCCATCCCTGGGAAGGGAGGGCGGAGGCCACTGGCGCAGCAGGACAGGGGTGCTGGGCGGCCCCAGGGGGGAAGGGGAGGGTCTTACTGAAGAGGTGGGTCTCGTGGGCGGGGCTGAAGCACAGGGTGGCGATGGCCTTCTTGTGGGCCCGGATGACCCCGCAGCAGAAGCCGGCACGCACGTGCAGCAGCCGGACCAAGCCCCGCAGGCCCGCAGCCGCCAGCACGCTCCAGCGCTTCTTGTGGCCGGCCTGTGTGACCACCATCAGGGCGGTCCAGGCCACGGAGAAGAACTCCTGGGCGGGGGGTTAGAAGGAAGAGGTCACCAGAGCAGAGCCATTGGCGTGAACACACATGCTGGGAGGGAACCGCAGCATGAAAGAAAAAGGCCAAGGGTGTCCCCACCCCACGCTGCTCTTCAGGAGTCAGTGGGAACGCAGTCCGCACTCACCTCACCGGGCGACCTGTACTTGTGGAGCACGATGCCCGTCTGGCAGTCAATCACGCACACGGCCTCTCCGCCGCACGTGGCCACGGTCTGGGATGTGACCCCTGAGTGCCCGGTTTTGGGAGGTCACGTGAGTGGAGGCATTTCCTATCCAGATCCTCCCTGCAGCCCCCTCTTCCCAGCCTTGATGGTGCCTTTTTTTTTTTTTTTTTTTTTTTTTTGTCTTTTTGAGACAGAGTCTTGCTCTGTCGCCAGGCTGGAGTCCGGTGGTGCAATCTCAGCTCACTGCAACCTCCACCTCCCAAGTTCAAGTGATTCTCCTGCCTCAGACTCCCAGGTAGCTGGGACTACAAGCACATGCCACCACACTTGGCTAATTTTTCTATTTTTAGTTGGCCAGGATGGTCTCGATCTCTTGACCTTGTGATATGCCCGCCTTGGCCCCCCAAAGTGCTGGGATTACAAGCGTGAACCACCACACCCAGCAATGGTGCCTTTAAAGCTTGTCTCCTGACCCCCCCACCCATCCAGGCGGCCCTGTTTCCAGCTGCCCTTGCCCCACCCACCTGCCCGCCGCCGCCACCACCACGTACCCTCCTCACAGGCCGGCTCGAAGGCGCAGGCCCACAGCTGCGTCTCGAGGTCCCGGGGGCTGTTGTTCTTGCTGTGGCACTGCAGGAAGTGCAGGGGCTCCAGCTTCAGCAGAGGCTGTTTGGGGAGAGGGAGGTCACGGCTGCCCAGCCCCGCTCACCTGCCACCTGCTCCCTGCTACCTCAGCTCACCTGGCCGTCATCAGAGCCCGCCACGGGGCCGCCCTCCACCTGGGCTGACGGGGAGGCACATACCCGCTTGCTGGGAGAGAGGCTGAGTGGGACACCGTCCGGCCGTTTCAAGGCCGCCAGTCTAGCCTGTGGAAGGGGGGCCTTGTGACCATGGGCCCATCGGCCTGGAGCTTCCTTCCTCCCCATCACAGGCTGGGTCCCACCTCACTGTGGGTACAGGAAGCCCAGGCTGGCTCAGGGTCACCGAAGGGGCAAGCCGGGGCTTGGGGTGCTTCCTGGGCTGATTCCCAGGACGCCTTTGTCTCCTGCAGCTTCTCTAGGCACGAGGGCCCGGGCTGGCCTCGGAGCCCTGGGAGCCGCACTCACCCTGGGCTTGTGGGCAGCTTCGGCTTCTGGCGGCTTCTCTGGGCTGTCAGCCTCGTGTACCTGCGTCCTACTGGAGGCCACCAGCTCCTCCGAGATCACCCGTACCTGGGTGGGGCCAGGCCATCAGAAAGCTGGGCACAGTCCCAGGTGCCCCCAGCGCTGCCAGCTCGTAGCTGGGGAAGCCTGTGCTTCAGGGCTGCCCACCCCGACTCACCCCACTCCCACAGCCCCTCAGCCCTTCCTGGCCAGGGACCTCCAGGCAGCTAAGGATCCGACAGCCAGCGACTCCCTGCACGTCGGGACGGGGACATACCCGCCACTGGGTGAACTCGCTGAGGGACTCGGGCCCATAGCGGACATCCCTGACGGCCGACTTCACAAAGTCCGCCTGGGCCTTCTCAGCCTCCTCTTCAGGGCCCAGTGTGGCCATGAACTTCTCCCAGTGAGCTGTGACCTGGTGCAAGAGGGTCCAGATCCAGGGCCAGCCCACCCCAGCTCCCCCTGCCCTACCCTTTATCTCATAACACCTCAACTCCGCCACCTGCTGGAAGCCTCCAGGAACCACAGTCTTATAAACCACACAACACATCACAAACAGCAAAGCCCAGGTGCCTGCAGTCCCAGCCACTGGGAGGCTGAGGAGGAAGCATCTTTGAGGCCAGGAGTTGGAACCTGGGCTACATAGCAAGATCCCACCTCTACAAAAAATTTAAAAATGATCCAGATGTGGCCGGGCATGGTAGCTCAAACCTGTAATCCCCGCACTTTGGGAGGCCGAGGCAGGTGGATCACGAGGTCAAGAGATCAAGACCATCCTGGTCAACGTGGTGAAACCTCGTCTCTACTAAAAATACAAAAAATTAGCTGGGCATGGTGGCGCGTGCCTGTAATCCCAGCTACTCAGGAGGCTGAGGCTGGAGAATTGCCTGAACCCAGGAGGCAGAGGTTGCGGTGAGCCGAGATCGCGCCATTGCACTCCAGCCTGGGTAATAAGAGCGAAACTCCGTCTCAAAAAAAAAAAAAAAAAAAAAAAGATCCAGATGTGGTGGCACACACCTAAAGCCCCAGCTATTCAGGAGGCTAGGGCGGGAGGATTGCTTGAGCCCAGGAGTTGGAGGCTGCAGTGAGCTATTATCACACCACTGCACTTCAACCCGGGCAGCAAAGCAAGACTCTGTCTCTAAAAAAAAGAAAAGGAAAGTAAAAAGAAACATCCCAGAAAAAGCTACTTAAAGGAGTCAGGCCGGGTGTGGTGACTCACACCTGTAATTCCGGAACTTTGGGAGGCGGAGGTGGACAGATCACCTGAGGTCTGGCGTTTAAGACCAGCCTGGCCGATATGGTGAAAACCTGTTTCTACTAAAAGGACGAAAAATTTGGCTGGGCGTGGTAGCAGGTGCTTGTAATCCCAGCTACTCAGGAGGCTGAGGCAGGAGAATTGCTTGAACCTGGGAGGCGGAGGCTGCAGTGAGCCGAGATCACACCACTCCACTCCGGCCTGGGAAATGGAGTAAGACTCCATCTCCAAAAAAAAAAAAAAAAAAAAGAAATAAAAAGTAGCACATCAGGCTATGGGCTGTTGGGGGGCAAAGAGCCCTTATCAGTCACCATCTTCAACGTCCCCCTGATGTCCAATCCTATCACTTTCTCAACGCCCCTACAGCTCCCAAGCACACAATAATCCTCCTATCCCCTTACCCTGCTGGTCAGCTCCCGGTTCAGGTTCTCCACCTGAGAGTAAGTTGACGACGCATCCTTGCCGTTGACTTTGCGGAGCTTGGGCAGGAGAAAGGAGACTTTCAGGTTGTCACTGACCTGGGGGAGAGGGGGTGCAGGGCGGTGGCTCAGGGGATGCTGAGCCTGAGCCCCCCCCAGTCCTGGCCCCGATATGAGGCTAGCAAGTGGCCCCCACTTACCGTCAGAAAGGGGTTGCCTTCCAGGCTGAGTTCCTCGAGCTTGGGGAATTGGCACAAGGCAGTGACATCCCCCAGCTGGTTGTTGGCGCAGCGGAGGACACGCAGGTGGGACAGCCCCAGGTTGTCCGGCAGCGCCTCCAGCTGGTTGTTGGACAGGTCCAGCTCCTGCAGCTGTGTCAGGCGGCACAGGAGCTTGGGGTCCAGGTGCTCGGAAAGCAGCTCCAACCCTGACAGGCTGGAAGTGGGGGCAGACCAGGAAGGCTCAGGAGGCGGGCAAGCCTTGCAGCCCCACAGCAACCTGCCCCGGCTACCTCCGAAGGCTGCTTCACCTGACATTTCTTGCACAAATGCAGCCGTCCCGCCCACCCCCCGTTACTTTATTTTTTTAGAGACGGGAGTCTCACTCTGGCGCCCAGGCGCGATCACAGTTCACTGCTGCCTCCAGCTCCTGGGCTGAGTGAGCCTCCCGCCTCAACCTACCGAGTAGCTGCGACTACAGGCGCGCGCCACTACTCCCGGCTCCCCACCACTTAAAAAAAGAAAAAACCTGCAACTAATTTAGGACTGGGGGCAATCCAGCTTCCTCTAGCATGCTCTTCCAGATCCTTCGGAGGCTCCCCTGCGCTTCCCAGACTCTAATGGTAGCGGCAGGCTGTGCCCCTGATTGCCCGCGCTCCCTTCAGGGGATGAGGGCCCCCGGGGCTCCCGGCGAGCGGGCAGGGCCGCGACCTCCCAACAAGAAGACATCTGGCGCCACTCTGACGAACCCAGAGGGCGATAACGGGGACAGGCGGGCCGTGGGGGAGGGTCCCCGCTCTTCTCCCCGACCGCCCGGCGGCCACAACCTCGCCCCCTGCCCGGCTCTTACTCCAAGCTCCGGATCTTCCCCAGCCGGTCGCTCTTGGGGCGCCCGCGCTGCATTAGCAGCCGCGCTGAGAGGGGGCCCATGGCGAGGAGGTGCGGCCCGCGCTGACCCCAGTCTGCGGCCCCGGCGTCTGGAGTCACCCTGCGTCTCCTGGAGCCCGGTACTGGCGTCCGCCGTAACCGAGCCCAGGCGGTGGCGCCGCACGAGCCCGTGGGCGGTAACGACCGGAAGGAAATGGAGCCTAGGCCTCGTGCCCCCGCCCACCCGGACTACAACTCCCAGCGGCCCCAGCGGCCGCGCCTGCGCACTGGTCACCCGTACGGAGCCATGGCGGCGGCTGCGGCGGCGGCCGCGGCGGCCGCTGCAGCCGAGGTGCCGGAGGTCCTTCGGGAATGCGGTTGCAAGGGCATCCGGACCTGTCTTATCTGCGAGCGGCAGCGCGGCGGAGACCCGCCCTGGCAGCTGCCCCCAGCGGTAAGGGGTGGGTGAGGAGCCGCGCCCACAAACGTCGTTCTGCATCTGGGGAAACTGAGGCCCAGCTTGGCCATGGCACGGGCCGGGATCAAAGCCTGTGAGCGACCCTTGCGGTAGGGGCGATGCGGGGTGAGGAGATGAAGGCTTTGAGGAGCGTGCTTGGGAGCGGGAAGGGCTGGGAGGTGGGTGAGTCCGACCACAGCTCACCTCGGAGACTCTGGGGTGATCTGCCCGCAAACATCGACGTAGCTTCTCAGATCTGGCGCTGGGAGCTTCATGGGCCCACGGGGAGACGACACGGACAGGGTCGAGGGTGCTGAATGCCAGGCCAACGGTGCCTGAAGGCCGTGGGCTGCAATGGGTAAGGAGGCAGTGAATTCCAGTTTACTAATGAAAAAGAACGCAAGGATCGCTCCAGTCCAGGAATTGGAGGCTACAGTGAGCTATGATCGAGCCACGGCACTTCAACCTGGGCGACAGAGCAAGACCCTTTCTCAAAAAAAAGAAAATAAATAATAATTTTAAAAAAGAACTCACCTTCTTTGGATTGGCATGGAAGGATTGTGGTTGGTTGCAAGGGCGAGGTGGAGTGGTGATGCTTCCAGTGAGAGAGACGAGGCTGGAGAGGTTGGGGGGGTCTGACCACAGACAGTCCCCCGTGTGTTGGCTGAGCAGGCTGGACTTGTCCCAAAAGCCATGGAGAGCTCTTGGAGGGTTTTAAAGCAGTGATGAGGTCAAATGTGAATTTTAGAAAGATCCTGGGAAGGGAAGGGGCAGATATGAAGATGTGGCTGGGAAGCCTGTGAAGAAACTGCCCCAGCGTCTATGGTGAAAGTGCCCAAGATCCTGTGGAAACAGTATGTGATGCCTCATAAACTAAACAGAATTACCCCTGATCTGGGTGTGTATCCAAAGGAACTGAAAGCAGGGTCTGGAAGAGAGATTTTCACACCCATGTTTGTAGCAGCATTATTCACGAGAGCCAAAACATGGAAGGAACCCAAGTATCTATCAACAGATGAATTGGTGACCAGGTGCTGTGGGTCACGCCTGTAATCCCAGCACTTTGGGAAGCTGAGGCGGGCAGATCATGAGGTCAGGAGTTCGAGACCAGCCTGGCCAACCTGGTGAAACCGCATCACTACTGAAAATACAAAATTAGCTGGGTATGGTGGCAGGTACCTGTAATCCCAGATACTCAGGAGGGTGAGGCAGGAGAATTGCTTGAACCTGGGAGGTGGAGGTTGCAGTGAGCCGAGGTGGTGCCGTTGCACTCCAGCCTGGGCCAACAAGAGCGAAACTCCATCTCAAAAAGAAAAAAATTAGTCGGGCATGGTGGTGTGTGCTTGTAGTGCCAGTTACTTGGGAGGCTGAGGTGGGAGGATTGCCTGAGCCCAGGAGGTCAAGGCTCCAATGAGGTGTGATCGCGCCACTGCACTCCAGCCTGAGAGCAAGACTCTTCCTCAGAAAAAAGAAAAAAAAAATTGCAGAAAGTCTGACCCGTGCCAGTGGCCATGGGTGTGGAGTCACAAGGCATTGTGGAGGTTACACCTTCACAACCCAATGGCCGTGGAACAGGGAGTGTGAGGAGTCCAGGGTCTCAGGGCTGGAGCAGTTCCTGATGGGCTTTCCAGTCCCCGCCCCTTCCTATCTGCCCCTCCCCCTTGGGATCTTTCTAAAATTCACATTTGTCCTCATCACTCCTTTAAAACCCTTCAAGAGCGCTCCATGGCCTTTGGGACAAGCCCAGCCTGCTCAGCCGACACACGGGGGACTCCCAGTTTTAATGTTTCCCATGGGAGGGCCCCCGGAGCAGGAGGAGATAGTGCCTACCTCAGGAGGTGTCTGAACTGGAGTCAGAGGCTGGAAGTAAAGGGTTAGAAGGGGCTGAGGTCCCGGGACAGAACAACAGGGGACAGCAGCCCACAGTGAGTGGCAGCTCAGGGTATAAGGAGCCTGGAGATGGAAGAGGAAGAAGAGACAGGCCACAGAGTCCAGAGCTGAGTTCTGGTGGCCTCCAGGGTCCTCACTGGGTGACTCTGGCCAGAACGTCCACACATCTACACCTCCTGCCCTCAATAGTTATGGTACCTTCCTCTTGGAAATGAAACTAGATAATCCATGTAAAATCTTTAGTGCCATGGATGCAAATATTTCATTAGAGAAATTCTTTTTCATTAGAGAAATTCTTTTTCAAAAATGCATGATTTGCTGGGCACAGTGGCTCCCGCCTGTAATCCCAGCACTTTGGAAGGCTGAGGTAGGCGGATCACCTGAGGTCGAAAGTTCGAGACCAGCCTGGCCCACAGAGTGAAACCCTGTCTCTACTAAAAATATAAAAATTAGCCGAGTGTGGTGGTGGGCGCCTGTAGTCCCAGCTACTCAGGAGGCTGAGGCAGGAGAATTGCCTGAACCCAGGAGGCAGAGGTTGCAGTGAATCGAGACTGCACCACTGCACTCCAGCCTGGGGTGACAAGAGCAAGATTCTGTCTCGGGGAAAAAAAAAAAAAAATGTATTATTATTATTTTCAAGATGGAGTCTCACTCTGTTGCCCAGGCTGGTGTTCACTAGTGCAATCTCAGCTCACTGCAACCTCCACCTCTCAGGCTCAAGCAATTCTCCTGCCTCAGCTCCCTGTGTAGCTGGAATCCCTATAGAAGCACACTGCCGCTGGGTGCAGTGGCTCACGCCTGTAATCCTAGTACTTTGGGAAGCCGAGGTGGGTGGCTCACCTGAGGTCGGGAGTTCAAGACCAGCCTCGCCATCATGGTGAAACCCCGTCTTAAAAAAAAAAAAAAAAAAGTGCACTGCCACACCAGGCTAACTGTTTTGTATTTTGGTAGAGACGGGGTTTTGCCATGTTGGCCAGGCTGGTCTCGAACTCCTGTGTTCAAGTAATCCCTCTGCCTCAGCCTCCGAAAGAACTGAGATTACAGGTGTGAGACACCGCACCTGGCCAGAACTTTTTTTTTTAAATTGAGATGCGATCTTGCCATGTTGCTGAGGCTGGTCTTAAGTGATCCTCCCGGCTTGGCCTCCCAAAGTGCTGGGATTACAGGCGTGAGCCACTGTGCCTGACCATTAACTAACTCTTTTTCATGAAGAGAAGTGGAGAGGAAGGGGTAGCAGAAGCCAAGGAAGAGATTTAAGAAGTAGTCATTGCCGGACGCGGTGGCTCAAGCCTGTAATCCCAGCACTTTGGGAGGCTGAGGTGGGTGGATCACGAGGTCAGGAGATCGAGACCATCCTGGTCAACATGGTGAAACCCCGTCTCTACTAAAAATACAAAAAATTAGCTGGGGCCGGGTGCGGTGGCTCAAGCCTGTAATCCCAGCACTTTGGGAGGCCGAGGCGGGTGGATCACGAGGTCAAGAGATCGAGACCATCCCGGTCAACATAGTGAAACCCCGTCTCTACTAAAAATACAAAAAATTAGCTGGACATGGTGGCACGTGCCTGTAATCCCAGCTACTCAGGAGGCTGAGGCAGGAGAATTGCCTGAACCCAGGAGGCGGAGGTTACAGTGAGCCGAGATCGCGCCATTGCACTCCAGCCTGGGTAACAAGAGCGAAACTCCATCTCAAAAAAAAAAAAAAAAAAAAAAAAAAAATTAGCTGGACATGGTGGCGCGTGCCTGTAATCCCAGCTACTCAGGAGGCTGAGGCAGGAGAATTGCCTGAACCCAGGAGGCGGAGGTTGCAGTGAGCCGAGATCGCGCCATTGCACTCCAGCCTGGGCAACAAGAGCGAAACTCCGTCTCAAAAAAAAAAAAAAGTAGTCGTCACTGGCAGCATGACTCGGGGTCAAGGTCAAGCTGGCTGCACAGCACACAGAAAAGAGACAGTTGAGAGAGGTGAGGCCCTGGGAGAGTTGCGGGTAGGAGGATGCAGGTACAGGAATGAGGGTGACAGGAGAGGAGGAGCAGCTGTGGCTTGGGAGGAGACAAGGCCAGGAGTGGTTTCTAGACTTTTTTTTTTCTTTTTTTTGAGACAGAGTCTCCCTCTGTTGCCCACACTGGAGTGCAGTGGCGAAATCTCGGCTCACTGCAACCTCTGCCTCCCAGGTTCAAGGGATTCTCCTGCCTCAGCCTCCCAAGTAGCTGGGATTACAGGCATGACCCACCGCGCCTGGCCTGGTTTCTAGACTTTCTTTAGCATGGCAGAGACCTGAGAGTACGGTGGCAGAGCAGAGAGGGACATGGTGTGGGAGCTAAGTGACAGCCCAGGGTATGAGGATTGAGGCGTGATGCTGGGTCTGGAAAGGTGCCTTGAGAACAAGAGTGAAGAGGAGGGAGTCGGGGGTGCTGAGGAGCTCTGTGAATACTCAGCTCTGTGGGGAAGGACGTTGCCCTCCTGGGTGAGCCTCAGACTTATGATAGGCACGGGCCAGCCCTGGGGACACGAGCGTGGCGTCAGCAAAGACCTAAAGAGATTAGGGTGCACAGACTCAAGGTAGTCGGGTAGTCAGGGTCCTCCTGGACGCAGCCTAGGAGACAGGAGCTCAGGAGGTGCTATGCAGCCTGGGCTAGTTCCTTAACTTCGCTGAACTCCTGTGTAAAGCGGAGAAGGGCCGGGCGCGGTGGCTCAAGCCTGTAATCCCAGCACTTTGGGAGGCCGAGGCGGGTGGATCACGAGGTCAAGAGATCGAGACCATCCTGGTCAACATGGTGAAACCCCGTCTCTACTAAAAATACAAAAAATTAGCTGGGCGTGGTGGCGCGTGCCTGTAATCCCAGCTACTCAGGAGGCTGAGGCAGGAGAATTGCCTGAACCCAGGAGGCGGAGGTTGCGGTGAGCCGAGATCGCGCCATTGCACTCCAGCCTGGGTAACAAGAGCGAAACTCTGTCTCAAAAAAAAAAAAAAAGCGGAGAAGGAAAGATGCATCGTACCAGCCCCTCTTTCACAGGCAAGGAAAGCGAGAAAGGAAACCAATCAAATTCATGTGAGCTCAAGAGGGCTTCGGGCCTTCCCTGGTCAGCCTGGGGCAGACACTGCCTGCACCTCCCACTAGATTCCAGCTGCCTTCCACGGTGGCCTGGCGGGAGGAATGAGCCATCAGAGTCTCTTGAGGTTACACAAGCGCCAGGGGCTGCCACAGCTCCAGGACACATCTTTTTTTTTTTTTTTTTTAAAGACAGGGTCTTGCTCTGTTTTGCAGGCTGGAGTACAGTAGCACAACCATGGCTCACTGCAGCCTCAACCTCCTGGGCTCAAATGATCCTCCTGCCTCAGCCTCCTGTGTAGCTGAAATGACAAGTGTGCTCTGCCACGCCCGGCTAATTTTTATTTAAACTTTTTTTTTTTTTTTTTTTTTTGAGACGGAGTTTCGCCCTTGTTACCCAGGCTGGAGTGCAATGGCACGATCTCGGCTCACCGCAACCTCCGCCTCCTGGGCTCAGGCAATTCTCCTGCCTCAGCCTCCTGAGTAGCTGGGATTACAGGCACGCGCCACCATGCCCAGCTAGTTTTTTTTTTGTATTTTTAGTAGAGACGGGGTTTCACCATGTGGACCAGGATGGTCTCGATCTCTCGACCTTGTGATCCACCCGCCTCGGCCTCCCAAAGTGCTGGGATTACAGGCGTGAGCCACCGCGCCCGGCTTAAACTTTTTTTTTTTGAGATGGAGTCCTGCTCTGTCACCCAGGCTGGAGTGCAGTGGCGCCATCCCAGCTCACTGCAACCTCCGTCTCCTGGATTCAAGCAATTCTCCAGCCTCAGCCTCCCAAGTAGCTAGGATTACAGGCCCCTACCACCATGCCCAGCTAATTTTTGTATTTTCAGTAGAAATGGGGTTTCACCATGTTGGCCAGTCTTGTCTTGAACTCCTGACCTCAGGTGATCTGCCCACCTCAGCCTCCCAAAGTGCTGGGATTACAGGCGTGAGCCACCGCTCCCGGCCTGTTTTAACTTTTTATAGGGACAGGGTCCCGCTGTGTTGCCCAGTCTGTGGACCTGTTTTTCTTTTGCAGAAAACACACCATTTCATTTACTGCTCTGACACCGGCTGGGCCGTGGGCTCGGAGGAATCTGACTTTGAGGGCTGGGCCTTCCCCTTCCCAGGAGTGATGCTGATCGAGGACTTTGTGACTCAGGAGGAAGAAGCCGAGCTGGTGCGGCTCATGGACTGTGACCCCTGGAAGCTCTCCCAGTCTGGACGGAGGAAGCAGGTAGGCCAGCCCTGAGCTCATGGAGAGGGCTGGGCTGCGTCAGGAGAACCGCCCCACTGCTGGGGCCCTCCTCCTCTGCAGCCACACCCCACGAACCTCCAAGGTTGGTAGTGGGCGAGTTCCCCAGACCTTGGGGCTCTGCGCAGCCAGATTCGCTGCAGGACGTGTGTCCGACGGGCAGAAGTGCGCCCGGGCACTCTGTCTCAGTGGGATGCGCTGCTGGGCTCTATGCCCTCTCTGCAGCTGACTTGGTGGTGCTGAGGGCATGGGAACGTTCTGATGGGGTACCCCATTCTCCCAAGCTACAGGTGCTCCCACCTCCAATTCTCGCCATCAGTATCTTGTCTCCTCACGTGAATTTCCACCTTCCCCGACCCGGCCCATCATTCTCCCCCCAGCTCACTCCTTCCCCACCTGTGACCCAGCCTCCTCACTTCCCCTCACCTCCGTCCCTCTGTCCCCAGCCTCCATATGTGGCCACTGGGACAGTCAGTCACATCCCTGGGTGCCCCTCACCCTTCACTGTAGTTTCATTTGTTTGTTTGAGGTGGAATCTCACTCTGTCACCCAGACTGGCGAGATCTCGGCTCACTGCAACCTCCGTCTCCTGGGTTCAAACAATTCTTCCGCCTCAGCCTCCCAAGTAGCTGGGACTACAGGCACCCACTATCATGCCTGGCTAATTTTCGTATTTTTAGTAGAAACCGGTTTTACCATATTGGCCATGCTGGTCTTCAACTCCTGACCTCAGGTGATCCACCCACCTTGGCCTCCCAAAGTGCTGAGATTACAGGCCTGAGCTACTGAACCAGGCCTTTTTTTTTTTTTTTTTTTTTTTTTTTTTTTTTTTTTCCTGACACAGTCTTGCTCTGCCGCCCACGCTGGAGTGCAGTGAAGTGACCTGAGAGCTCACTGCAACCTCCTGGGTTCAAGCCATTCTCATGGCTCAGTCTCCCAAATAGCTGGGATTACAGGTGCCCACCACCACACCCGGCTAATTTTTGTATTATTAGTGGAGACGGGGTTTCACCGTGCTGACCAGGCTGGGCTCGAACTCCTGACCTCAGGTGATCTGCCCACCTCAGCCTCTCAAAGTGCTGGGATTACAGGCGTGAGCCACCACACCCGGGCCCGTTACCTTTGTGACATTCTGTTGGATGTCTGTACATTTCATTTCTTCTGTTGACGGACACTGTCGTTTCCACTTTTTGGCTGTTGGGAGAGTAATGCTGTTGTGAACATTTGTGTACAGGTTTTAATTAATTAATTTTTTTTTTTTGAGACAAGGTCTTGCTCTGTCACCGAGACTGAAGTGCAGTGGTGCGATCTCAGCTCACTTGCAGCCTTGACCTCCCAGGCTCTGGCTGTTCCTCCTACCTCAGCCTCCCGAGTAGCTGGGACTAAGGCATGTGCCACCAAGCCCAGCTATTCATTGTTATTATTTTGAGACAGAGTGTCTCCTTCTGTCTCCCAAGCTGGAGTGCGGTGGTGCAGCCTCCTCTCACTGCAGCCTCCATGTCCTGAGTTCTAACGATCCTCTGACCTCAGCCTCCTAAGTGGTTGAGACTAAATCCTGTGCCACTACATCTGTCTGAATTTTGGTGGGTTTTTTTTCTTTTTTCAACGAGAGATGGAGTTTTGCTGTGTTGCCCAGGTTGGTCTCAAACTCCTGGGCTCAAATGCACCACGTGCCTGGGCCTCCCAAAGTTCTGGGATTACAGGCATGAGCCACCATGCCCAGACTAATTTTTAAAATTCCTTGCAGAGCGGAGGTCTCACTTTGTTGCTCAGGCTGGTCCTGAACTCGTGGTCTCAAATGATCCTTCCGTCTCAGCCTCTCAAAGCACTGGGATGACAGGCCTGCTCCACCACTCCCGGCCATTTGCTATTACTTCTGTCTCCTTGGGTCGGCCTCCTCCTGCTTCATGTCCATGAAGTAGGGACTTCTGCTTGTCTGGGTCACTGAGATGGAATGCTTCGGACCTAGCGTGCGGTTGACATCTCCCTAAACGCAGATGCCTCACGTCCTTTTTGTCTTCATCCTTCAGGACTATGGCCCCAAAGTCAACTTTCGAAAACAAAAGCTAAAGACCGAGGGCTTCTGCGGCCTCCCCAGCTTCAGCCGGGAGGTGGTGCGGAGGATGGGCCTCTACCCGGGGCTGGAGGGCTTCCAGCCCGTCGAGCAGTGCAACCTGGACTACTGCCCCGAGCGCGGCTCGGCCATCGACCCGCACCTGGACGACGCATGGCTGTGGGGGGAGCGGCTGGTCAGCCTCAACCTCCTGTCGCCCACCGTGCTGTCCATGTGTCGGGAGGCACCCGGGAGCCTGCTGCTCTGCTCCGCCCCCTCAGCCGCCCCGGAGGTCTTGGTCGACAGCGTGATCGCGCCCAGCCGCTCGGTGCTGTGCCAGGAGGTGGAGGTGGCCGTCCCCTTGCCGCGCCGCTCCCTGCTGGTGCTCAGGGGGGCCGCGCGGCACCAGTGGAAGCATGCCATCCACCGCAGACACATCGAGGCCCGCCGCGTCGGCGTCACTTTCCGGGAGCTGTCGGCCGAGTTCGGCCCCGGAGGGAAGCAGCAAGAGCTGGGCCAGGAACTCCTGCGGATCGCCCTCTCCTTCCAGGGCAGACCCGTGTGAGCCGCCTGTCTGGCTCCAGACCTGACTGATCCTGGGATCGAAGCCGGGAGCCCAGAACAGGGCCTTCCGCAACTCACGGGGCGGCAGAAGAGGGCTGATCCCTGGTGGTGTGAGCATCGCGAGTCCTGCCCCGGGAGCGGATTTTGATGGGAACGCCCTTCGGGACAGCCCCCTTCCACCTGGACTGTGGCCAGGCTTCTTTTGGTTATCTAGTTTGTCACAGTCAAGGGGACATGGGATAATTTGAGGTTAAAAAATATTGGGGGCCGCCCGCAGTGGCTCACGCCTGTAATCCCAGCACTCTGGGAGGCCGAGGTGGGCGGATCACTTGACACCAGGAGTTTGAGACCAGCCTGGCCAACATGGCAAAAACCCGTCTCTACAAAAAAATACAAAACTTAGCCAGGCGTGGTGACTCACACCTGTAATCCCAACTACTCGGGAGGCTGAGGTTGGAGAATTGCTGGAACCCAGGAGGCGGAGGTTGCAGAGAGCCGAGATCACACCACTGCGCTTCAGCCTGTCGCACGGAGCAAGGCTGTTTAAAAAAAAAAAAAAAAAAAAAAAAAAAAAAAAAAAAAACTGGGTTGGGGGGAGACATTTTAAATGATTTTCTCCTTTATGATGCATCTCTTTTCGTGGGGTTTGCCTATCTCACTGCCCAGTCCCTTCCATTGTGGTAACAAACAGCTTCAGAGTCAGGCTTGGCCTGAGTCTTGCTTGACAACCCCCTACCGCCCCGCCTGGGGGGTTGGGGATGTGAGGCGAGCAAGGAAATCTGAGCGCCTCCCCCAGCCCCATAATGCTGTTAACAAGCAGGAAAAATTAAAGCTCCCGGCCAGGCACAGTGGCTCACGCCTGTAATTCCAACACTTTGGTGGGCTGAGGTGGGAGGATCGCTTCAGACCAGCCTGAGCAACATAGTGAGACCCCCGTCTCAACAAAAAATAAAAACATTAGCTAGGAGCTAGGTGTGGTGGCCTGTAGTCCCAGCTGCTCTAGACGCCGAGTCGAGAGGATGGTTTTAGCCCACGAGGTCAAGGCCGCGGTGAGCTCAAGATCATCCCACTGCACTCGGCAACAGAGCAAGACCCTGTCTCTAAAATAAATAAAAGCTTCTCACCTTCTAGGACACCAAGAGGCTGTTCCCTTGTGATGGGGCTGTGTGTGGTGGTGGGGGCTTACCTGGATCAGGTGGCTGCTCTGCTGTCCCTGTGGCCGGGCGAGGGGCAGGCTGTGGAGGCTGAGGAGGTGGCCTAGACCCACATGGCCAGCCTTCCCTCCCACCACTATGGGACAAATGTTCATTTCCCTGCCACCTGCTGGGAACTAAATCCAGGGAACAGGAAAGGTTTGGGGCCAGCACTGCTCTTTACAGTCACCCCCAGAACCCTCTGGAAGCTGTAAGGCTCCAAGTTGTGCACAGTCTATACAGGAACATCCTGCCAGGGGCGGTGGCTCACACCTGTAATCCCAGCACTTTGGGAGACTGAGGTGGGCGGATCACGAGGTCAGGAGTTCCAGACCAGCCTAGCCAAGATTGTGAAACTCGTCTATACTAAAAATACAAAAATTAGATGGGCTGTAATCCCAGCTACTCAGGAGGCTGAGGCAAGAGAATCACTTGAACCCTGAAGGCAGAGGTTGCAGTGAGCCAAGATCGTACCACTGTGCTCAAGCCTGAGTGAAACTCCATCTCAAAAAAAAAAAAAAAAAATGCATCTCAGCCGTTGGGCCCCATGGAGGGCTGAAGAGCCCAGCACAGACGACCCAGAGGAGAGGCTGCCAGGTTTCTAGCTGCCATGAGAGCCCAGCCGCCGGGTGTGTGGGAGTGGCTCCCAGGCCACCTTGCCTTCAGCTCCCTGGTCGGCTCATTTGGAGCAAGAGTACGGAGGCTGGCTTCCCCCCGGAGTCCTGACCCCCGAGTCATGCCTCACTTCGAATCCAGATAACAAGTCTGGCTGGAGCTCCAGCTGATCCTCACTGCACTGGAGCAGATAAGCCAGCCCGTGGTCCACTCTCGAGGGGGCCAGTGCAGGGTCTCTGTCCCTGACAGGCTGGGCTGGCCCCTGCAGGAGGCTCCAGCAATGCAGGGCTCCATGGGGAGGGACATCTGGAGAACAAGGTACAGAGACTTCGAGGGGAGAGGCCTGCAGAGGCTTGGGGACACTGGAGCAAAGAAACCTCTGTCTACGGGGTCCCTCCGTGCTGGCCCTTCCAGCACTCCTCACAACACACTAGGAAACTTCATTACCTGGTAAGTTGGGGGCACCCAGAGTTGGGTCTGTCCTTGAAGCTGTGACACGAAGACCCACAACACCTCACCTAACGAGGATGGGGCTGGGGAAGGCCGCGCTGGGATGCTTCTTCCACAGCCTGGCCTCGTATGCTTCCTGGTTTTTTTTGAGACAGAGTTTCACTCTTGTTGCCCAAGCTGGAGTGCAGTGGTGCGATCTCAGCTCACTGCAACCTCCGTCTCCCAGGTTCAAGTGATTCTCCTGCCTCAGCCTCCCAAGTAGTTGGGATTACAGGCATGTGCCACCATGCCCGGCTAATTTTTTTGTATTTTTAGTAGAGACGGGGTTTCACCTTGTTGGTCAGGCCGGTCTCAAACTCCTGACTTCGTGTTCCGCCCACCTCAGCCTCTCAAAGTGGATTACTGGTGTGAGCCACCGCGCCCAGCTGTTTTGGTTTTGTTTATGTTTTTTTGGAGGCAAGATCTTGCTCTGTTGCCCAGGCTGGAGTGCAGTGGTGCAATCATGGCTCACTGCAGCCTCAAACTCCTGGGCTCAAGTGACCCTCCCGCCTCAGCCTCCCAAAGCACTGGGATTAACACGTGTGAGCTGCCATGCCCGGCCTGCCCCATTGTTTCTGAAGGGCTGGGCCCCTGGAGCCACCGCCTACAGGGTAACGTCTGCTGTTTCCGCATCAGTCAGCACACTCCTCAGCAGACCAGGCTGCCTGCTCTCATGCTCTTGGAGCTTCAAGCAAGGGGACAGTGAGGCATGGGCCTGTGGACACACCCGATGGGGAAATGCCGGCTCCGAGTGTGGCTTCCAGAGACATCCCACACCAGAGCCGGCCAAGCGGGGGCTCAGCTGACATTCCCCAGCCGCTTCAGGACATTCAGAAGCGAGCACAGCATGCTTGTTCAGGGTGGCAGGTGGTGAGGCTGAGGCCAGGGACAGGGTCACGCTCCATCCGAGGCCCATTCTCTGGGGTTATTCCTGCCTTAATTTGTGTTGAGCCGGCCTGTCCCCTATCCCACAGTACCCAAGGGTGTGTGGACCACAGACAGGCTGGGAAAGGGTTTAAGACAGGGTCTCACTCTTGCCACCCAGGCTGGAGTGCAGTGGCACAACCTTGGCTCACTGCAGCTTCAACTTCCCTGGGCTCAGATGATCATCCCACCTCAGCCTTCCCAGTAGCTGGAACTACAGGCATGTGCCACCAAACCTGGCTAATTTTTGTATTTTTGTGCAGACGGTCTCGCTATGTTGCCCAGGCTGGTCTCGAACTCCTTGGCTCAAATGATCCACCCACCTCAGCCTCCCAAAGTGCCAGGATTACAGGTGTGAGCTACAGGTTGGCACGTTCTACATGGGTCTCAGATCCTGTCTGGGCCTTGCCCTGCTGGCTCCCCGCAAGGCTCTGCAGCATCTAAGGCAAGAAGTCTTGGGCCGGGAGCGGTGGCTCACACCCGTAATCCCAGCACTTTGGGAGGCCAAGGCGGGTGGATCATTTGAGGCCAGGAGTTTGAGACCAGCCTGGCCAACATGGTGAAACCCCATCTCTACTAAAAACACAAAAATTAGCCAGGCATAATGGCGGATACCGGTAATCCCAGCTACTTGGGAGGCTGAGGCAGGAGAATTGCTTGAATTCCTCCACCAGGAGGTGGAGGTTGCAGTGAGCCCAGATCGTGCCACTGCACTCCAGCCTGGGCGACAGAGCAAGACTTGGAAAACAAAAACACATGGGCTGCCTGGTGCCTTCTCATCAGTACCAGCAGCCCACAGGAGAGACTCACCTGTTCCAGCTGCCCGACTGGAGAGCCTGGACTCCAGCCCGAGAGCCACAGGGACCCGGGGCTGGAGAATGTCCCAAGGTGACCAGAGTTCCAGTGGCTCCTCCTGAAGGGACGGAGAGGGGGGACCTCCAAGCCAACCCCGTCCAGATCAGCTCTGTTGTCGCTCAGCCACCCTCTGGGGCTGCCCTTTCCTTTGCTGCTGACGAGAGAGGGTCTTGTCTGGGAGGGGAAGCAGCAGGCAGAGGCACCCTGCGTTCTCAGGGTCCCACCTGGCAGGAGCACCCTGCCTCCATGCTAGAAATGTCCGCGCCCCCTCACTGGGGCAGCCTGGGAGGACACTGGCCAGTGACCAGCGACAGGAGGCCTGGCGCTGTGGGTCACCCCATGCAGCAGATGCCAGGGGAGGGCTGAGGGCTGTGGTTTATTCCCTCTGCCCGCAGCATCCCCCCAAGAACAGAAAGACTTTGAATAGCATCACGGGTTTATTCCGTTTCCACCCAGGGCAAGTGCTTCAGAAGCCCGCACACAGGCTAGTGGACGAGTTTGCCGCAGGTGATCTACATAACGCCATGCAGAGATCATCAGCACGAGGCAGGAAGGGGCTGCAGCTGAGCCTGAGTCCACTCAGCCTTAAGTGGTCTGGTCCGAGGCAGACCCGCCTAGAAGACGCTAAAACACGTTCCGCCTGCCAAGTTTCTAAAACAGAAACAGCTGTGTTTTGAAACATGTGGTCAGATGCTAAACGGAGTGGGTGTCCCACGTGGGAGGGGCCTTGGCATGTCTAGGCACCAGGAAGGATGTGCTCCAAATGAGGACAGGCCCCGGCTGGCTCCAGGGCACACTGAGGCAGAGGGCCCTGTTTTTGTTTTTTTGAGACAGTCTCGCTCTGTCACCCAGGCTGGAGTGCAATGTCACGATCTCAGCTTACTGCAACCTCTACCTCCTGGGTTCCAGCGATTCTCTTGCTTCAGCCTCCCTAATCTAGCTGGGATTACAGGCTTGTGTCACCAAGCCCAGCTAATTTTTATATTTTTAGTAGAAACGGGGTTTCACCATGTTGGCCAGGCTGCTCTCCCACTCCTGACCTCAGGCGAGCCTCCTGCCTTGGCCTCCCAAAGCGCTGGGATTACAGGAATGAACCACGATGCTCAGCCAGGAGGCCTCTGTTCTTAAACACTCTTCAAAGTTGGACTAAACCTCAGGAAACCGAATTTCTAGGCTGCAATGGCATTCCCCATCACCCACGGTGCCCCTCAGGTGTTTCTGCGGCTCCAACAGTAACTCAGCCTCCATGTCCCCACACACTCTGGGGGCAAACCGGTTTCCTCTCCCAGCCACCACGGCCCTACCCATGGTCACTGCTATTCCCACAGCAAGGGTTTGCCTCACGCCTGTGAACTAGAGAGCCTGGAGCTGGAGAACTCTAGAAGAAACAACATTGTTTCACTTTGTCTGTGAAAATGATAGGAAAAAAAAAAATTAAAGAAAAACAGAACAAGAAATTCCAAGACAGCCTCCTAATCAGAGGGCTAGATTGGATGTGGCTCTGTACCCACCCACGTGTCACCATCACTGGCACCTAATACCTGTCTGGATGCTGCCAGGCCAAGAGCTCTGCCTGGAGACCAGGTGCAGTAACTGGCCCCCAGATGGCACTGGAGATGCGTTCCACGGTCTGGGGATTGTGGCACTGGGTGGGCAGGGACACAGATGGTCCAGGAAGGTGGGCAGCAGAAGGCCCAGCAGGGCCCTCCCCAAAAGGGTCAATCCAGGGTAAGGGGCAGCTGCCCCTCCCAGCCAGGGGGAGCCACTGGTTTAGAATAGCTGACTCATCTTGTCCCTGCCAGGACCCAAAGCCACTGCCTTGGAGGGACGCTGACATGTTGACATTTATTTATTTATTTTTTTTTTGAGACAGGGTCTCGCTCTGTCACCCAGGCTAGGGTGCAGTGGCACAATCATATTTTAATTATTTTTCTTTTTTTCTTTAAGAGACGGGGTCTCTGTTGCCCAGGCTGGAGTGCAGTGGCATGATCTCGGCTCACTGTAACCTCCACCTCCTGGGTTAAAGCGATTCTCCTGCCTCAGCCTCCCGAGTAGCTGGAACTACAGGCGAGTGCCACCATGCCTGGCTAATTTTTTGTATTTTTAGTACAGATGGGGTTTCACCATGTTGGCCAGGATGGTCTCAAACTCCTGAACTCAAGTGATCTGCCTGCCTTGGCCTCCAAAGTGTCAGGATTACAGGCATGAGCCACCACACCCAGCCAGTGGCACAATCATAGTTCACTACAGCCTTTACTTCCCAGGCTCAAGCAATCCTCCCACCTCAACCTCCCAAGTAGCTGGAATTACAGGTGTGTGCCACCAGGCCCAGCTAATTTATTTTATTTATTATTATTGTTTGAGGCAGAGTTTTGCTCTGTTGCCCAGGCTGGAATGCAGTGGCATGATCTTGGCTAAGTGCAACCCTCACCTCCTGGGTTAAAGCAGTTCTCCTGCCTCAACCTCCCAAGTAGCTAGGATTATAGGTACCCACCACCATACCTGACTAATTTTTTTTTTTTTTTTTTTTTTTGAGACGGAGTTTCACTCTTGTTACCCAGACTGGAGTGCAATGGCGCAATCTCGGCTCACTGCAACCTCCACCTTCTGGGTTCAAGCAATTCTCCTGCCTCAGCCTCCTGAGTAGCTGGGATTACAGGCATGTGCCACCATGCCCAGCTAATTTTTGTATTTTTAGTAGAGACAGGGTTTTACCATGTTGACCAGGATGGTCTCCATCTCTTGACCTCGTGATCCACCCGCCTCGGCCTCCCAAAGTGCTGGGATTACAGGCATGAGCCACCATGCCCGGCCACCTGACTAATTTCTTTCTTTTTTTTTTTTTTTTTTTTTTTTTTGAGACAGAGTTTCACCCTTGTTACCCAGGCTGGAGTGCAATGGCGCGATCTCGGCTCACTGCAACCTCCGCCTCCTGGGCTCAGGCAATTCTCCTGCCTCAGCCTCCTGAGTAGCTGGGATTACAGGCACACGCCACCACGCCCAGCTAGTTTTTTTGTATTTTTAGTAGAGACGGGGTTTCACCATGTTGACCAGGATGGTCTCGATCTCTCAACCTCGTGATCCACCCACCTCGGCCTCCCAAAGTGCTGGGATTACAGGCTTGAGCCACCGCGCCCAGCCTTTGTCTAATTTCTTTTTACTAGAGACAGTCTCACCATGTTGTTGCCAAGGCTGGTCTTGAACTCCTGACCTCAAGTGATCCGTCCGCCTCAGCCTCCCAAAGTGATAGGATTACAGGTGTGCCACTGTGCCTGGTCTGGCTAATTTAACATAATTTTTTTTTAGAGATGGGGTCTTGCGATGTTGCCCAGGCTAATCTTGCAACTCCTGGGCCTAAGTAGTCCTCCCTCCTTGGCCTCCCAAAGTGCTGATATGACAGACGCGAGCCACCTTGCCTGGCCGACATTGACATTCTTTAGCAAAGCAAACACACAAGAGGTAAAACCTTAAGAGGTGTTGCTACAGGCCGCAGGAAAGTACAGACGTGCTGGAGGGCAAGAGCACAGACAGATGTCTGCAGGGGACACAAAGGATGCACCCCTCAGAAGACAATGGGCTCTTCTCTGGCCCTTGAGGATGCCACAGCTTTCTCATGGGGACCCTCAGCACGGCTCCCCGAGGGCCTCTCAGCACAGGGGACTGCGTGTCAGGGTCTCCATTCTCCACTGCAGTCACATTTCCAGAGACCCCAGCCAGGCCACCCAGAATTCCACAGCACGGCCAACCCAGACCCTGTTGAGAGCTTAAGCTTTTACAAGAGATGTGATCAGAGCATGAAGAAGCCCAGTCACTATTTTTTTTTTTTTAAGACAAAGTTTCACTCTTGTTGCCCAGGCAGGAGTGCAATGGTGTGATCTCAGCTCACTGCAACCTCCGCTTCCTGGGTTCAAGCAATTCTACTGCCTCAGCCTCCCGGGTAGCTGGGATTACAGGCACCCGCCACTATGCCTAGCTAATTTCTGTATTTTTAGTAGACAGGGTGTCACCATGTTGGCCAGGCTGGTCTCGAACTCCTGATCTCAGGTGATCCACTCACCTCAACCTCCCAAAGTGTTGAGATTACAGGCGTGAGCCATTGCACCCGGCCCCAGTGAGTATTTATGAGAATAAGACAAGGTATGGGTGGCCATCCAGGTTACAGCTGGAGGAGGGGGTAGAGGAGGTTGGTTGTACAAGCAGCTCAGGGCAGCTAGTGCTTCGGCGTGCGTGTGCAGCCCAAGAGCATGGCTTCAGGTCTACCAGATGCCCTTAGGGACAAGGCCAGGACCCACGCTGCACGGCACAGTCACTGTGTGGGCCCGGACCCAGTGTCGGCTGAGAGGCCTGGAGGCATCTTGCCTCCTCTGTAGTCACTCGGTGTCATAACAAGGAGGGCACCCATTTGGCCGGGGCTGACCCCTGGCCCCACTACTCACAGGCCAGGCCAATGGCCTTGGCTAGACAGGAAGTCCCCCAGGCTGTCCCTTTGCTGCCTGGGGCCACAGGCAGGCTGCACCAGCTCGGGTGTCTGAGCCAGGGCTCCCGCCTCTTGCTGCCACAGCCCAGGGGAGCAGCTGAATCAGCCTAAGAGGCCATTCTGTGGCCGAGAGCTGGAGGCTGCTGGCTGAGCCGGGGCGGCGGGGAGGGGGGTTCCTTTCCCCAACCGGTGGCCCCGCTGAGTCCATGTGGCTAGGGTTCTGGCTGGGAAAAGAGAATTTGAGCCTAGCTTACTTTGCAGCAGACCTCAACTCAGCCTTCTCAAGGGGGCGTCTCGCAGATGCCTGAGAACTTGCCTCCTCTGCCCTGGCCAGGCCGCCTGCCCTTGGAAACATCCCTGGAACCGACACCGCTGACGCCAGCTGCAGCACCCCCACACCTGCTGGGCTGCTGTGTGTCCCGGCTCCTGCCTTCTCCCGAAGCCAGGCCACCCAGTCCCTCCAGGGCTAGGCAGGGAAGCAGCCAGCCCCGCCATGCACCTGCACCCGCTCAACTGCCACAGCCCTCTTGTCGTCACTGTCAGACGGGCCACTCGGCATCCACGAAGCCCACCTCAGGTCTCTGGGGCAATCCTTCTCTGAAAGCAAAACCCTGCCCTGGCTCTCCCAGCCCGCCAGCCACACATTCGCGCTCTGGGATGCCCCCTAACCACTGGGGGCTGTTCGGAGCCCTTCCTGCCACAGGACTGATGGGCAGATCCCGCTGGAGTATTTTCCCCGTGCCCCCGACCCAGGCAACCCCAAAGCCAATGAACCAGCCTAGCTTTGCCTCCTATGGTCTTAGCAACACGATCCCTTGTTGAACCTGAGAGTTCCATCTTAGGAGAAGTCATCCAGTTCTTACGGCGTTAAGACAAGAGGAAAACTTTGGTCTCTTTTTTTGAGACGGAGTCTTGCTCTGTCCCCCAGGCTGGAGTGCAATGGCGCCATCCTGGCTCACTGCAACCTCCGCCTCCTGGGTTCAAGCAATTCTCCTGCCTCGGCCTCCCGAGTAGCTGGGACTACAGGTGCGCACCACCACCCCTGGCTAACTTTTGTATTTTTAGTAGAGACGGGGTTTCACCATGTTGCCCAGGATGGTCCCGATCTCCTGACCTCATGATCCGCCCGCCTCGGCCTCCCAAAGTGCTGGGATGACAGGCGTGAGGCACGGTGCCCTGGGAAAACTTTGGTCTTCAACCACCCGGCAGCCTTTCAAAAATCTCTGCATCTAACAAATGCCCGCCGATGCGGGCTCCGGGGCGCAGGCCCACCGCACCCCCACTGCACCCCCGGCCCCGGGCCGGCCCCTCACACGACCTGCAGGCTGCGCTCGTGCCCGTCCAGCTGCACCTTCAGCTTGTGCAGCTCCTCGATCTCGCGGTTGTGGCGCTCCGTTTTGTGGCGCACCAGGGAGCGGTAGAAGTGGATGGTGAAGACCACGAAGATGAGGCCCACGGGCACCATGATGATGGTAGACACCAGGGCGGCCTGCCAGCCTGTGTGGCTGCCGGGGCCGGGCAGGGGGCCAGGCTGGCGTCGGGCGTCCACGGGGAGGAACTTAATCCAGCAGAGCAGCACCACCTCGGCCAGGAAGAGCAGGATGCCGAGCACGGTGGAGAAGCCCCAGGCCAGCTCGATGTAGGGGTGCATGCGCTCGTGCGGGGACTCGCTGATGGAGTTCAGGTTGTGGATGTTGCTCACGGCCTCCACGTTGGGCAGGATGCAGGTGCTGATGAGGAGGGCAAACAGGTGCACGGCCACCAGCACGGTGGTGCAGGCGCTGAAGGCGATCAGCAGCGGCCGCGGGTACTGGTACTGCGTCTCCAGCTGCACCTCCACCATGGCCACCTGCGGGGACAGCGGATGGGCGGGACTGGGTGTGGGGAGGGCGGGGCAGGGGCTGGGCTAGGTTCCTTGGGGAACAGGGCCGGGGGCAGCCATGGACTTTCCTGCTAGTGGGACTCGACTCACCCATATTTTGGGCCCTTGAAGACCAGAGGGCATTCTCCCCACTGATCAAATATTTCACATTTTCCTTTGTTTTAATTAGCTAAAGAAGAGTGCACTGAGAAAAAAACTAAACAGTACAGAAGAGGCTGGCGCGGTGGCTCACACCTCTAATCCCAGCACTTTGGGAGGCCAAAGCTGGTGGATCACCTGAGGCCAGAAGTTAGAGACCAGCCTGGCCAACATGTTGAAACCCAGTCTCTACTAAAAATACAAAAATTAGCCAGGCGTGGTGGCGTGCCCCTGTAATCCCAGCTACTTGGGAGGCTGAGGCAGGAGAATCACTTGAACCCCGGAGACGGAGGTTGCAATGAGCCAAGATCACGCCACTGCACTCCAGCCTGGACAACAGAGCAAGACTCTGTCTCAAAACAGGCCAGGCATGCTGGCTCACGCCTGTAATCCCAGTACTTTGGGAGGCCTAGGCAGGTGGATCACCTGAGGTCAGGAGTTCAAGACCAGCCTGGCCAACTGGTGAAATCCCATCTCTACATACAAAACTTAGCTGGGCGTGGTGGCGCAAACCTGTGATCCCAGCTACTTGAAAGGCTGAGGCAGGAGAATTGCTTGATGCTGAGAGGCAGAGGTTGTAGTGAGCTGAGATGGCACCACTGCACTTCAGCCTGGACAACCGAACAAGACTCCATCTCAAAAAAAAGACAACAAAACAAAACAAAACAAAAGCCATAAAAGTTAATAAAAAGAAAAAAACACGCCGGGCGCGGTGGCTCAAGCCTGTAATCCCAGCACTTTGGGAGGCCGAGGCGGGTGGATCACGAGGTCGAAAGATCAAGACCATCCTGGTCAACATGGTGAAACCCCGTCTCTACTAAAAATACAAAAAAATTAGCTGGGCATGGTGGTGCGTGCCTGTAATCCCAGCTACTTAGGAGGCTGAGGCAGGAGAATTGCCTGAGCCCAGGAGGCAGAGGTTGCGGTGAGCCGAGATTGCGCCATTGCACTCCAGCCTGGCTAACAAGAGCGAAACTCCGTCTCAAAAAAAAAAAAAAAAAGAAAAAAACACAAAAGTTAAAAACTGGTTGGGTGCAACGGTTCATGCCTATAATCCCAGTGGTTTGGGAGGTTGAGGCAGGAGGGTCGCCTGAGGCCAGGAATTCCAGGCTGCTGTGAGCTATGATCACACCACTGTGCTCCAGCCTGTGGGACAGAGGGAGACCGTGTCTCTACAAAAAATACAAAATTAGCCAGGTGTGGCACCTGTAGTTCCAGCTACTAAGGTGACTGAGGTGGGAGGATCACTTGAACCCAGGAGATCCAGGGTGCAGTGAGCTATGATCACACCACTGCACTTCAGCCTGGGCGGCAGAGTGAGACCTCATCTCTCCGAAAAAAGGAAACTGACCTTTCAGGCATGGTGACTCATGTCTGTAATCCAGCACTTTGGGTGGCAGAGGCGGGAGGATCGCTCGAGCCCAGGAGTTTGAGACCAGCCAGGGCAACATAGTGAGAGCCCATCTCTACCAAAAAAAAAAAAAAAAGGGAAACTGATCTTTTAAAAGATAACAACTGCGGCCGGGCGCGGTGGCTCGCGCCTGTAATCTCAGCACTTTAGGAGGCCAGGGCGGGCTGATCACTGGAGGCTGGGAGTTCGAGACCAGCCTGACCAACATGGAGAAACCCCGTCTCTACTAAAAATACAAAATTAGCCAGGAGTGGTGGCGCATGCCTGTAATCCCAGCTACTTGGGAGGCTGAGGCAGGAGAATCGCTCGAACCTGGGAGGCGGAGGTGGTGAGCCAAGATCGCGCCACTCCGCTTCAGCCTGGGCAACAAGAGGGAAACTCTGTCTCAAACACACTACACACTACATACACACACACACACACACACACACACACACACCTGAAACTGCCAACTCTGAGCTGCACACCTGGATGGCATCAGATAGACCACACTGTGCCTCCTCAGTGGAGACCAAAAACCCTGGGAGAAACGGAACCTTGAAAGCCCAGGAAAGGGGACAGATGTGAGGCCAAGGGTGAGGAGGGAAGCCGTAGCAAGGAGGCGTGGCTGGGTGTCTTAAGGAAGCAAAAGTCAACCACAGTTGGAGGTTACAGCAAGGTGGAAAAGCCAAGTACCAGCAGTTCTGCATGGTGTCTTGAAATGTGAGGTCAGCCGGGCGCAGTGGCTCACGCCTGTAATCCCAACACTTTGGGAAGCCGAGGCAGGCGGATCACTTGAGGTCAGGAGTTCAAGACCAGCCTGGCCAACATGGAGAAACCCCATCTCTACTAAAAATACAAACAATTAGCTGGGCACGGTGGTGGGCGCCTATAATCCCAGCTACTCAGGAGGCTGAGGCAGGAGAATCACTTGAACTCGGAAGGCGGAGGTTGCCGTGAGTTGAGATGGCGCCATTGCACTCCAGCCTGGGTGACAGAGCAGGACTCTGTCTCAATTAAAAAAAAAAAAAAAAGAGGCCGGGTGCTGTGGCTCACGCCTGTAATCCTAACACTTTGGGAGGTCGAGGTGGGTGGATTACCTGAGGTCAGGAGTTCGAGATCAGCCTGGCCAACATAGGAAAACTGTTTCTATTAAAAATACAAAAAATGGCCGGGCGCGGTGGCTCACGCCTGTAAATCCCAGCACTTTGGGAGGCTGAGGTGGGTGGATCACGAGGTTGAGAGATCGAGACCATCCTGGTCAACATGGTGAAACCCCGTCTCTACTAAAAATACAAAAAATTAGCTGGGCATGGTGGCGCGTGCCTGTAATCCCAGCTACTCAGGAGGCTGAGGCGGGAGAATTGCCTGAACCCAGGAGGCGGAGGTTGCGGTGAGCCCAGATTGCGCCATTGCACTCCAGCCTGGGTAACAAGAGGAAAACTCTGTCTCAAAAAAAAAAAAAAAAAAAATACAAGGCCGGGCGCGGTGGCTCAAGCCTGTAATCCCAGCACTTTGGGAGGCCGAAGTGGGTGGATCACGAGGTCGAGAGATCGAGACCATCCTGGTCAACATGGTGAAACCCCGTCTCTACTAAAAATACAAAAAATTAGCTGGGCGTGGTGGCGCGTGCCTGTAATCCCAGCTACTCAGGAGGCTGAGGCAGGAGAATTGCCTGAACCCAGGAGGTGGAGGTTGCGGTGAACCGAGATCGCGCCATTGCACTCCAGCCTGGGTAACAAGAGCGAAACTCTGTCTCCAAAAAAAAAAATACAAAAATACAAAAATGAACTGGGCACAGTGGCGCATGCCTGTAATCCCAGCTACTGGGGAGGCTGAGGCAGGAAAATCACTTGAACCTGGGAGGCGGAGGTTGCAGTGAGCTGAGATTGTGCCACTGCACTCCAGCCTGGGAAACAGAGTGAGACCCTGCTACAAATAAATAAATAATTAAATTAAATTAAAAATAACTCAGGAGGCTGGGCCCCGGAGTTGGAGGCTGCAGTGAGCTATGATCACACCACTGAACCCCAGCCTGGGCAACAGAGCAAGATCCTGTTTGGGAAAAGATAAAATGAAATATATGAAAAAATATATTTATATGAAGATTTCATAATATCCTTCAGCAACTACCACCTCTTAGAAGCTCATCTCCTCACGTCAATTTCAGTTGTGATAGACTTCCTAGATGAAAGAAGATATGGAAGTCCTAGTGGAGCAGAGCTGAACAGCAACTCAGCAGTAATATGGCTGGGGTCATTGTGAAATGTATTCAAAAACCAGTAGCCACAGAACATGGGTTGACGGGTGTGGCCCTGAGTTGGCTCTGGTCACCTCAAAGGATATGGCCCAACTGAAGGATATTACAAACCACAGAGGCCTCCAAGATAGGAAATAAAGATGATTACAAGGTAGAGGACGGGGCTAGCAAAAAGCAGTTTTGTTCCACCTCAAGAGGAGAGAAGGGGCCAGGCGAGGTGGCTCACTCTCGTGACCTCAGCACTTTGGGAGGCTGAGGCAAGAGGATCACTTAAGCTCAGGAGTTCAAAAACAGCCTGGGCAACAAAGCCAGACCCCATCTCTATTGAAAAAAAAAAATGACTGGAGAAGTGTCTATCGTGTGACAGCAAAAAAAAAAAGAAGGAAGAAGGAGAACGAAGAGGAGGAGGAGGAAGAGGCAGCAGCAATTTTTCACTGTGTTTACGCAGAATTTTTTTTTAATTTAAATTTTTTTTTTTTTTTTTGAGACAGTCTTCGTCACCAGGCACCAGGCTGGAGTGCAGTGGCGCCATCTCGGCTCACTGTAACCTCTGCCTCCCAGGTTCAAGCAATTCGCCTGCCTCAGCCTCCCGAGTAGATGGGATTACAGGCATGCGCCACCACGCCCAGCTAATTTTTGTATTTTAGTAGAGACGGGGTTTCACCATGTTGGCCAGGCTGGTCTCAAACTCCTGACCTCAAGTGATCTGCCCACCTTGGCCCCTCAAAGTGCTGGGATTACAGGTGTGAGCCACCGCGCATGGCCCTCACTTTTTTTTTTTTTTTTTTTTTGATACGGACTTTCGCTCTTGTTACCCAGGCTTGAGTGCAATGGCGCGATCTCGGCTCACTGCAACCTCCGCCTCCTGGGTTCAGGCAATTCTCCTGCCTCAGCCTCCTGAGTAGCTGGGATTACAGGCACGCACCACCATGCCCAGCTAATTTTTTGTATTTTTAGTAGAGACGGGGTTTCACCATGTTGACCAGGATGGTCTCGATCTCTTGACCTCGTGATCCACCCGCCTCGGCCTCCCAAAGTGCTGGGATTACAGGCTTGAGCCACCGCGCCCGGCTGGCCCTCACTTTTGTATTTTTAGTAGAGACGGGGGTTTCCCCATGTTGGCCAGGCTGGTCAGAAATTCCTGACCTCAAGTGATCTGCCCGCCTTGGCCTCCCAAAGTGCTGGGATTACAGGCCTGAGCCACCGCACCCAGCCTATGCAGAGGTTTTATGAGGGGGCCTCAGATCACTGGTTTTGTGTGTTGGAAGAAGGACAGGCAAAAAGAAATTAAGCTTCAGGTTAGGCATAAGCAGGTGTTGCTAGACAAAGGAGCAGCTTTGCAATTCTAATGAGGGAAGACACATCATGAAGAGCGAACTCTACCTCGCGATCTGCACGTTTGCATGCTCCCAGGTGCCCGCCCTGACTCAGCTCTGGTTTCCGATGCTTAAGATTTGTGACTTATTTTTCCCTAGCCGACCTGCAGTCTGAAGAATGATCTGACCTCATGACAACGGCATGCTAATCTAATCAGGCAGGTGTGCTGCGCGCCCCCCACCCACCCACCGCCCGAGTCTCAAATCCCTGCCAGATGGTTCACTTCCTTCCCCTGCAGCTGGCACTCTGTATCTGTGAGTTCCACATCTGCAGATTCAACCAGTTGTGGGTAAAAAAAATGTTTGGGGGAAAAACCAAAGTAAAACAACAGTATTTCTCCCTTGGTATAAGGTGAAGAAAAAAATAACAGTAAAATGTAACACACCAACCTAGCCAACATAGCAAGATCCACCTCTTTTTTTTTTTTTTTTTTAAGTGGAGTCTCGCTCTCTTGCTCAGGATAGAGTACAGTGGCACGATCTTAGCTCACTGCAACCTCCACCTCCCAGATTCAAGTGATTTCCTGCCTCAGCCTCTTGAGTAGCTGGGATTACAGGTGCCTGCCATCACACCTGGCTAAGTTTTGTGTTTTTAGTAGAGATGGGGTTTTTCTACGTTGGGTCAAGCTGACCAGGCTGGTCTCCAACTCCTGACTTCAGGTGATCCTCCCACCTCAGCCTCCCAAAGTGCTGGGATTACAGGCATGAGCCACCTTGCCCAGCCAACTTTTTCTTTCAAAATGCACCATCAATCTAACAATTGAGGCTCTGGCCTGTAGAAAAACAATTGAGGCCAGGCATGGTGCCTCGAGCCTGTAATCCCAGCACTTTAGGAGGCCAAGGCGCATGGATCACCTGAGGTCAGGAGTTCGAGACCAGTCTGGCTAAGACCTTGAAACTCCCATCTCTACTAAGAATACAAACTTAGCCAGGCGGGTTGGCATGTGCCTGTAGGCCCAGATACTCAGGAGGCTGAGGCAGGAGAATTGTTTGAACCTGGGAGGTGGAGGTTGCAGTGAGCAGGAATCACGCCACTGCAGTGCAGCCTGGGTGACAGAGCAAGACTCCATCTCAAAAAAAAAAAAAAAAAGAAAAAAAGAAAAAGAAAAACAACTGTTTTCATATAAGGAAATAGGCTGGACACGGTGTAATGCCAGAACTTTGAGGGCTGAAATGGGAAAATCATTTGAGAGTTGAAGACTGCAGTGAGTTATGATTGCACCCCTGCACTCCAGTGTAGACAATACCACTGCACTCTCCAGCCTGGGCAACAGAGCAAGACCCTGTCTCTAAAAACAAAACAAAAAATAAATAAATGAATCACTTCCACCCAGTAGGACCTGTGAGCGCAAAGTTGTGTCCTCACTCTGAGTCCTTAACCTGTGGGATAATTCCCTCCAGGGATGTGGGTCGGCGGCTTTGGGGTCAACAGGAGACGAGTCCCTTGTCAGAGCTGTAGCTTTGCCTGAAACTGACTCTTGTCCTAGGGGATGACTCACTCAGAGAGAAGGCAGCCCAGGAGCCAGGCCAAAAGCTCTGCTCTGTCACCCTGGAGGCCACATTCCAGGAATGTCTGCATCGATAACTGGGCTAAACTGATCCAATCCCAGTCAATCCCTGAGGCCCTGCTCAGATCCCTGAGAGTGCCAAACTTTTGGGTGGTGCCCAAGACAGGGCAGACGTGGGCACCTTTCTTCAGGAAACCCTGTACCATGCAGCGATTTGATTTTATCTTTTTATTTTTATTTATTTTTATTTTTAGAAACTCTGTACTATGCAGTGATTTGATTTTATGTAATCTTGTTATTATTATTTTATTTTTAATTTTTTGAGACGGAGTTTCACTCTTGTTACCCAGGCTGGAGTGCAATGACGCGATCTGGGTTCACCGCAACTTCTGCCTCCTGGGTTCAAGCAATTCTCCTGCCTCAGCCTCCCGAGTAGCTGGGATTACAGGCAAGAACTACCATGCCCAGCTAATTTTTGTATTTTTAGTAGAGACGGGGTTTAACCATGTTGACCAGGATGGTCTCAATCTCTTGACTTTGTGATCCACCCGCCTCGGCCTCCCAAAGTGCTGGGATTATAGGCGTGAGCCTTCGTGCCCGGCCATTTTTTTTTTTTTAATTTTTAGACAGAGTCTCACTCTGTTGCCAGGCTGCAGTGCAGTGGCATGATCTCAGCTCACTGCAACCTCCACCTCCCGGGTTTAAGTAATTCTCCTGTCTCAGCCTCCTGAGTAGCTGGGACTACAGGCACGCACCACCACACCCAGCTAATTTTTTTTTTGTATTTTTAGTAGAGACAGGGTTTCACCATGTTGGCCAGGATGGTCTCAATCTCTTGACCTCATGATCCGCCCACCTCGGCCTCCAAAAGTGCTGGGATTACAGGCATGAGCCACCATGCCCGGCCTTTTTAATTAATTAATTAATTTTGAGAAGTCGTCTCACTCTTACCCAGGCTGGAGTGTAGTGGTGTGACCTTGGTTCACTGCAACCTCCGGCCTACCCCAGATTCAAGTGATTCTTGTGTCTCAGCCTCCCAAGTAGCTGGGATTATAGGCACCTGCCACCATGCTGAGCTATCTTTTTTTGTATTTTTAGTAGAGACAGGGTTTCACCATGTTGGCCAGGCTGGTCTTGCACTACTGATCTCAAGTGATCCGTCAGCCTCGGCCTCCCAAAGTGTTGGGATTACAGGAGTGAGTCATGATGCCCGGCTATATTTTATTTTATCATTTTAGAGATGGGGTCTCGCTCTGACATCCAGGCTGGAATGCAGTGGTATAATCATAACTCACTGAGGTCTTGGCCTCCTGCCCCAGTCTCCCAAGTAGCTGGGGCTACAGGCACGCACCACCACACCCAGCTAGTTTATTTATTTAAATTCTGTAATGACGGGGGTCTCACGATGTTGCCCAGGCTGGTCTCAAACTCCTGGCCTCAAGCTCTCCTCCCACCTTGGCCTCCCAAGGTGCTGGGATTACAGGTGTGAGCCACTGCACCTACACTCCTGTAATTGCCCTGCACTGGCTGGGCGTGGTGAGTCACCCTTGTAATCCCAGCACTTTGGGAGGCCGAGGAGGGCAGATCACCTGAGGTGAGGAGTTCGAGACCAACTTGGGCAACATGGAGAAATCCCTTCTCTATTAAAAATACAAAAATTAGCCGGAAGTGGTGGCACATACCAATAATTCCAGCTACCTAGGAGGCTGAGGCAGGAGAATCACAGGAAGCCGGAAACAGTCTGCAGTGAGCTGAGATCGTGCCACTGCATTCCAGCCCAGGCTACAGAGCAAGACTCCGTCTCAAAAAAAAAAAAAAAATTACCCTGTACTAAAACCTCCCTCCTTCCTAAGTATTTCCAAAGCAAACACTTGACAGGAACAGAAGAGAGGATGCTTTCTGAGGATTCCATCGCTTGGAGCCCCTTATTCCCGGCACTCCCACGAGCCCTCATAGAGCCGTCCCCTTAGAGGAGCTAGGACTTGGGCGGATGCTTCCCAGTGCTTCCCTGCCAGAGACTGGAGGAAACGCTTTGGTCCCCGAGGCATCCCAGGACCTCGGTTAGCAAGGCCCATCTGACCAGTGCGCTCCTCACCTGGCACCCACACTCACCATGGCGAAGCCGGAGAGGAGGGCGGAGGTCCTGCTGGAAGCCTTCAGCTTGGCCCTGCTCAGGTACAGCTTCCTCCACGACAGGGCCTGCACCGAGTGGTGGTTGGAGGTGACCAGTTCCAGGTAGCTGCGGCGGACCCAGTCCCGGTAATCCATGCCCTTGTGGCCGGGCTCAGGGCAGGCAGGAGTGGAGGGGTCAACAGGCACGTTGAGCTCAGCGCTCATGGTGGGAGCCAGGCTGAGGGTGGGAGAGAGACACACTCAGGCATCCTAGGTCACTGTGGCCAGGAAGAGCTAGACTCCAAGCCCATTCAATCTACAAAGTCTGCTGTATACAGCTCCCGCCAGAGCCCAGGGTTTAACACATGCCCAGCACCTAAAGACATGTTTGTTTGTTTGCTTTAGAGACAGTATCTCACTCTGCTGCCCAGGCTGGCGTGCAGCAGCATGATCTCGGCTCACTGCAACCTCCGACTCCTGGGTTCAAGCGATTCTCCTGCCTCAGCCTCTAATTTTTGTGTTTTTAGTAGAGACAGGGTTTCTCCACGTTGGCCAGGTTGGTCTCGAACTCCTGATATCAAGTGATTCACCTGCCTCAGCCTCCCAAAGTGCTGGGATTACAGGCATGAGCCACCACACTGGGCCTCCAGGACACAAAGTTATGAAACCTGGATTTCACTGTATTGTGTGATTCTGAGCATGACAGGTGACCTTTTTGACCTGGCTCCTTCATCTTGAGAATGGGGGTATTTCCACCCATAGGACTTTTATTTTATCTATCTATCTATCTATCTATCTATCTATCTATCTATCTGAGACAGAATCTCGCTGTGTCACCCAGGCTGGAGTGCAGTGGCACAATCTTGGCTCACTGCAACCTCTGACTCCCAGGTTCAAGTGATTCTCCTGTCTCGGCCTCCCAAGTAGCTGGGACTATAGGTGCCCACCACCACCAAACCTGGCTAATTTTTGTATTTTTAGTAGAGACCAGGCTGGTCTTGAATTCCTGACCTCATGATCCACCCGCCTCAGCCTCCCAAAGTGCTGGAATTACAGGTGTGAGCCACAGCGCCTGGCCTATTTATTTTTTATATAGAGACAGGGTCTCACTGTGTTGCCCAGGCTGGAGTGCAGTGGCACAATCATAGCTCACTGCAGCCTCAAACTCCTAGGCTCAAGGGATCCTTCTGCCTCAGCCTCCTGAGGAGCTAGGACCACAAACACAGGACCACGCCTGCTAATCTTTTTTTAAATTTTTCCTAGAGACAAGAGTCTCACTATATTGCTCAGGCTGGTCTCGAACTCCTAGCCTCAAGCAACCCTCCCTCAAACACCTCCCAAAGTGGTGGGATTACAGGTGTGAGCCACTGCCCCTGGCCTTATCTCTAGGGCTTTTGAACAAGACAATGCACCGAAGATGAAAAATGTCTTTCAGGCCGGGCGCGGTGGCTCAAGCCTGTAATCCCAGCACTTTGGGAGGCCGAGGCAGGTGGATCACGAGGTCGAGAGATCGAGACCAACCTGGTCAACATGGTGAAACCCCGTCTCTACTAAAAATACAAAAAATTAGCTGGGCATGGTGGTGCGTGCCTATAATCCCAGTTACTCAGGAGGCTGAGGCAGGAGAATTGCCTGAACCCAGGAGGCGGAGGTTGCGGTGAGCCAAGATCGCGCCATTGCACTCCAGCCTGGGTAACAAGAGCGAAACTCCGTCTCAAAAAAAAAAAAAGAAAAATGTCTTTCAACATCGATGCCAGTCACGGAATAAACATTTCCAAGTAGCTGCTAGTTTCTCAAATCCAACTTAAATTTTATTTTTTTTAATTTTAATTTTAATTTATTTTTTAGACAGTCTCACTCTGTTGCCCAGGCTGAAGTGAAGTGGTGCAATTTCGGCTCACTGCAGCCTCTGCCTCATGGGTTCAAGCCATTCTCCTGCCTCAGCCTCCTGAGTAGCTGGGATTACAGGTACATACCACCATGCCTGACTAATTTTTATTTTCTTTTTATTTTTTAATTTTTACATGAGGCTCCTTAGCAGTAGAATAATTTTTATATTTTTAGTTGAGACAGGGTTTCATAATGCTGTCCAGGCTGGTCTCCAACTCCTGACCTCAGGTGATGTGCCCGCCTCGGCCTCCCAAAGTGCTGGGATTACAGGCGTGAGCCACCATGCCCGGCCTTCAACTTAAATTTTAATCAGTACAGTTCACCCTAAGAAAAATGTTGGGACTTACATAACTAAAGCCGTATCTAAGCTACAAGGGAAACTTTCAGCAAAATGAAAAATGAAATCAGCCAACTCACACAAGCACATTTTAAGGAGTAACAGACGTCGGAGATGCCTGGACTCACACCTGGCAGACATCTGGTTTGACTAACATGGATTAAACATCAGAGGACGGATCTGTCAAGATTTGTGAATTTAAACCTAAATCTCCACTAATCTAAGTAGGGGACTGGTGGTTGCGTGTGTCCCAAGGAGCTGGGCTGCTAGGCCACACGCCAGGATCCAGTTCTTATTAATCTGCAGGGCGTGCTTCAAGGGCACGGGCACCTTGTGGTTTACTTGGCATCATAAAGAGTAACTTTTCCAGCCTGGCCAACATGGCGAAACCCCATCTCTACTAAAAATACAAAAATTGGCCAGGCGTGGTGGCTCACACGTCTAATCCCAGCACTTTGAGAGGCTGAGGTGGGCAGATCATTTGAGGTCAGGAGTTCGAGACCAGCCTGACCAACATGGATAAACCCTGTCTCTACTTAAAGAAAATACAAAATTAGCTGGGCATGGTGGTGGATGCCTGTAACCCCAGCCACTCAGGAGGCTGAGGCAGGAGAATCGCTTGAACCCAGGAGGCAGAGGCTGCGGTGAGCCAAGATGACGTTATTGCACTCCAGCCTGGATAACAAGAGCGAAACTCTGTCTCAAAAAAAAAAAAACAAAAATTAGCTGGGTGTGGTGTCAGGCACCTGTAATCCTGGCTACTCAGGAGGCTAAGGCAGGAGAATTGCCTGAATCTGGGAGGCGCAGGTTGCAGTGAGCTGAGATCTCACCACTGGACTCCAGCCTGGGTGACAGAGCAGGACTCCGTCTCAAAGAAAAAGAAAGAAGAGGCCGGGTATGTTGGCTCAAAGTGCCGTAATTCCAGCACTTTGGGAGGCCAAGGTGGGCGGATCACACGGTGAAACCCCATCTCTACTAAAATATAAAAAGTTATCACACTGCCATGTGTGTACCTATGCAACAATCTTGCATGTCCTTCACATGTACCCCAAAACCTAAAATGCAATTTTAAAAAAATTAGCTGGGCACTGTGATGCCACCTGAAGTCCCAGGTACTCGGGAGGCTGAGGCAGAAGAATTGCTTGAACCCGGGAGGTGGAGGTTGCCATAAGCCGAGATCATGTCACTGAACTCCAGCCTGGCGACAGAACAAGACTCCATCTCAAAAAAATAATAAAAAAAGGTAACTTCTATGCCCAGGCCCACACAGGCCTCATGGAAAGCCTACCTCAGGCTATTACACACAGATCCCCGTTTCTGGGTCCCAGGGAGTGTGGCTGGGGACGGTGGGCGTAGTAGGGGGTGTTTAGCAGGGTCAGCAGCTGAGGAAATGCCTCAAACTTCGTCCATCCATGCCAGAGTCGAGCCCCTCATAATTGAAAATGCCGTAATTTGGAAATTACACAGGAAGGTGCTAGAGGTGGAAAACGGTCTTGCCTTTCTCTTTGTTCTCCGCCAGGCTACAAAGCCACAGCCTTCCCTGGCCTATGGGACCTCTGGGAACAGTTCTGTGCTATTTCTGCCAGGGGATGCCAATTACCAGGTCATTTATACGAATGCCAGCTCGGGCTCTCGGTCCCATCTCCTCGCACACATCCACAGCTAGCAGCACCACCTCCAGGCACTTCCATCCCTGGGACGTCTCTTCCCTTGGGGAGAATTCACAGAAATGCTGCAATCCATAGGTTAGCTCCGTATCATGGAAAATGCTGTAATTTGGAAATTCCTTTTTCCCTCTTCCCCTACCCTCATAGTTAACGGAATTGCCTGTACAGGTCTGAGGACGGCAGTATACAGAGAGGGGAGGGGTGAGGGGCTAATCTTTGCTCTCTCTGTCCTGTCCTACATCACATAGGCACTTACCACACTGGGTACTTAAGGATCCAGGATGAAAGAGGCCAGAGTTGACGATCTCCCAGTCAGGGAGCAAGATAAAGGGGTGCCGGTCAGGAAAAGTGGCTCATACCTGTCATCCCAGCACTTTGGGAGGCCCCTACGGGTGGATTACTAGAGGTCAGGAGTTCCAGACCAACTTGGAGAACATGGCAGAACCACATCTCAAATAAAAATACAAAAATTAACCGGGCATGGTGGCATGCACCTGTAATCCCAGCTACTGGGGAGGCTGAGGCAGGAGAATCACTTGAACCCGGGAGGTGGAGGTTGCAGTGACCCAAGATCTCGACATTGCACTCCAGCCTGTGTGATAGCGCCAGACTTCATCTCAAAAAAAAAAAGAAAAAAGAAAAAAAAAAAAAGCCCAGGTGCAGTGGCTCATTGGCTCATGCCTGTAATCCCAGCACTCTGGGAGGCTAAGGTAGGCAGATCACTTGAGGTCAGGAGTTGGAAACCTGCCTCACCAACATGGTGAAACAAAAATTAGCCAGGCATGGTGGTGGGCACCTGCAGTCCCAGCTGCTCAGGAGGCTAAGGCAGGAGAATCGCTTGAGCCCAGGAGGCAAACGTTGCAGTAAGCTGAGACTGCACCATCACACTCCAGCCTGGGTGATAGAGTGAGACTCTGTCTTAAAAAAAAAAAAAAAAAGGCCGGGCGTGGTGGCTCAAGCCTGTAATCCCAGCACTTTGGGAGGCCGAGGCGGGTGGATCACGAGGTCAAGAGATCGAGACCATCCTGGTCAACATGGTGAAACCCCGTCTCTACTAAAAATACAAAAAAATTAGCTGGGCATGGTGGCGCGTGCCTGTAATCCCAGCTACTCAGGAGGCTGAGGCAGGAGAATTGCCTGAACCCAGAAGGCAGAGGTTGCGGTGAGCCGAGATCGCGCCATTGCACTCCAGCCTGGGTAACAAGAGCGAAACTCCGTCTCAAAAAAAAAAAAAAAAAAAAAAAAAAAGATGAGGGAGTGATTCTCATCCACTGAGCTAAAGGCTTCAGCGGAGGGCAGGGAGCTGAGAAGGACTGGCTGCCTCACACAGAAGCCAGGGAAGGGCACCTGCAGTTAATTACCAGGGAGGGGACACAGACGGAGGTAGTGAAGTCAGCCTTGGCAAAAGAGGGACCTTCCCTTTGCAGGCCAGCGTGCCTCATGCCTGTAATCCTAGTGCTTTAGGATGCCAAGGTGGGAGGATCACTTGAGGCCAGGAGCTGGAGACGAGCCTAGGCAACATAGTGAGACTTTGTCTCTAAACATAATTATTTTTTGAGATGGGGTCTTGCTGTGTTGCCCAGGCTGCAGTGCAGTGGCGCGATCTCAGCTCCCTGCAAACTCTGCCTCCCAGGCTCAAGCAATCCTCCCACTCCAGCCTCCCGAGTAGCTGGGACTACAGATGCCTGCCACCACGCCTGGTTAATTTTTTGTATTTTCAGTAGACAGGGTTTCACCATCTTGGCCAGGCTGGTCTAGAAATCCTGAGCTCAAGTGATCCACCTACCTCGGCCTCCATAAGTGCTGGGATTACAGGCGTGAAACACCGTGCCCGGTCTCTAAAATGAATTTCTAAAAAGAGGGAGATTTGGTATTCAAGAAGGATTGGAAATGAAAAAAAAAAAAAAAAAAAAAAAAAAAGAGGGAGCTTTCTCAAGGACAAGACTTGGCCTGCATGGAAGGATTCTGAGACAGGAAGAAAACTCCAGGTGTACATGTGGGGTGGCTCCCCTTGTCCAGGAGATATGGAGGGAAGGCTGGCTGCCACGTGGGGGATTAAGGGGTAGAGGGGGCAGAGAGATGTGGGGAGAAGACTCTTGGACGCTGAGGTTGTGGAAGGAGCCAGGGGTCTGGGTAGCATGACGGGGCGGTGTCCAGCCACAGAACAGAAGGAATTGGTGAGTGTAATGGTCTGGGCACTGTTAGATCATTCTGGTTTGAGATCACAGTTTGACCCAAGGAAATGACTGGCAGACTGAGAGGAGTGGGAGGCAAGGGAGAGCCTGGTGGCCTCCAAACAGAGGAAGCGTGAAGAAGAGGGATGCCTAGGGGCCATCGGTAAGGGTGGGCTGGCTCAGGTCTGAGACGAGGTGAAGAGCTCAGGGCAGTGAGGGCTGAGAGTGGCTTCCAGGGAGTGGCCAGGGCCACATTCCCCTGCCTTGACAGCTAGGTCTCCCAAGTCCCATAGGTGAGGCCCTGCAGATGTCCCCAGAGTGGGTGGGGCTGTGGAAGAAAGGATGTCTGCCTGCCTGGAGCTGGGTCTTGAGACAGGTCTGCAGGTCTGGAAGGAGCAGTCCAGAAAGGGGTTCAAATCCATCCTCTATGCTCCCAGCGCCAACTGTGTGTGCCAGGCCTGGTGGCCGGAGGTGGGTGGATGGTGGGGGGGGGAGACAGAGTCTCATCCCCACACTGGATCTCAGGCAGGGGGTGAGGTGGGGCAGGATGGAGCCCCGCACTCCTGTCAGGTGGCACAGACCCTAGAGGATGCTCTGGGACTGAACCGCGTGGGTTTTTTGTTTTTTTGGGGTTTTTTTTTTGCTTTAACAAGCAGTCAGAGAAAACAGGTCTTGTAGAATAATGCGATCCCCTCTCTAAAGATGAGCGACTCTCCCTGGCTGGCCTGTTGGATACATTTCTAGAGGGTGGTTTGGAGTTTGACTTCCTCTAAGCATCTGGGGCACCAGCAATGGCGAGTATCTCTCTCCAGTAGGCCGGCCTCCCAGGGGCGCCCACCTGCATCCCTGTCCCTCCCCCAGGGACTCCCGGGTGTCCGGACCCGCTGCAGCCCCGACCCTGATCCTCCTCTGGGCGCCGCACCCCGCCAGGGATCTCGCGGGGTGGGGGTCACCAATCCCGGATGGGTGGTGACCGCGCCCTCACAGCTCCACCTACCCTTTCCCGCAGAGCAATTCCGCCACCCCGCAGTCGCAGGGGACCCCGCTCCCCGCACCAGGCCCCCAGCCACCGCACTCACCGGAGCTGCCCTCACCCCGCCCGGCTCTGCTCCCGCTCGGGCTGCGTGGCCGCGTGGCCTGTGGCCCGTGGCCCAGTGGCCGGGCCGGGGCGCCGAGCACGGCCCCCTCCCTCCTTCCGCCGGTTGCCCGGGGTCCCCCGGCCCCGCCTCCACTCCGCCCCCGCAGCCGCCGCAGCCGCTGTCAAGGCAACCGGGCGCCGCCGCCACGTGACCCCGTCCGCGGGGGAGCCGCGGCCACGTCACTTGCCGGGCCGGGAGGGCGGGGCTGGCGGCGCCTCCTCAGGGAGTGGCGCCCCACCCGGGACCACGCCTGGGTCGTGCTCTGGGGAGCAGCAGGGGAGGTGGGAAGACCCCGACCCGCACCCCTGCCCCTGCTCCTGTCCCCGGCCCCTGCTCCGGGAGTCAAAGCGAGGCCCCCCCCCCGCCCCACTGAGGGTCCGGCTACCCACAGACCAAGGGCTGGGCTCTCCCTGCCCCTGCGTCCGGGCGCAGAAGGGGCGTCTCGGGGGAGTGCCCAGCATTGGGCGCTGGCCACGTGGAGCGATGGGGAGTAGGGAGCGGGGACGGGTCAGGCGCGTGCCAGGTGGGCAGTGGAGGGGAAAGTTAGGTGAGGAGGAGAGAATCCGTCTGGCCATGCCCGAGTTTCAGAGAATTATTTTTCATTTTCCTTTTTTCTTTTCTTTTTTTTCTTTTTTGAGGCAAGAGTCTGGCTCTGTCGCCCAGGCTGGACTGTAGTGGTGTGATCATGGCTCACTGCAGCCTCAAATTCCTGGGCTCAAGTGATCCTCCTGCCTCAGCCTCCCAAAGTGCAGAGGCTACAGGCAGGAGCCGCCACCACACCTTGGTAATTTTTTTTTTTTTTTTTTTTTTTTTGAGACGGAGTTTCGCTCTTGTTACCCAGGCTAGAGTACAATGGCGCGATCTCGGCTCACCGCAACCTCCGCCTCCTGGGTTCAGGCAATTCTCCTGCCTCAGCCTCCTGAGTAGCTGGGACTACAGGCACGCGCCACCATGCCCAGCTAATTTTTTGTATTTTTAGTAGAGATGGGGTTTCACCACGTTGACCAGGATGGTCTCGATCTGTTGACCTCGTGATCCACCCGCCTCGGCCTCCCAAAGTGCTGGGATTATAGGCGTGAGAAATTTTTTGTTGGGCCGGGCGCGGTGGCTCATGCCTACAATCCCAGCACTTTGGGAGGCCGAGGCGGGTGGATCAGGAAGTCGAGATCGAGACCATCCTGGCCAACATGGTGAAACCCCGTCTCTACTAAAAATGCAAAAATTAGCTGGGCGTGGTGGCGTGCATCTGTAATCCCAGCTAGTCGGGAGGCTGAGGCAAGAGAATTGCTTGAATCCAGGAGGCGGAGGTTGCAGTGAGTCGAGATCGCACCACTGCACTCCAGCCTGGGTAACAAGAGCGAAACTCCGTCTCAAAACAAACAAACAAACAAAAAAACCCCACATATTTTGTTGTTGTTGTTGTTGTTTGAGAGAGAGTTTCGCTCTGTCACCCAGGCTGAAGTGCAGTGGTGTGATCTCAGCTCACTGCAACCTCCACCCCCGGGGTTGAAACGATTCTCTTGTCTCCGGCTCCGGAGCTGGGACTACAGGCGGACACCACTAGCCTGGCTACTTTTTGGTATTTTAGAAGAGGCTGGGTTTCACCATGTTGGCCAAGCTGGTCTTGAACCCCTGACCTCAAGCGATCCACCCACCTGGGCCTCCCAAAGTGCTGGGATTCGAGGTGTGAGCCACCATGCCAGGCCAAAAAAAAAAAAGTATTTTTTAGAGATAGGGTCTTCCTGTGTTGCCCAGACTGGTCTTAAACTCCTGACCTCAAGCAATCACTCTCTCAGCCTCTCAAAACGCTGGAATTACCGGCACTTGCCACCACGTCCAGCTAATTTTAATTTATTATTTTTTAAATAGAAACGGGGTCTTGCTATGTTGCCCCCACTGGTCTCGAACTCCTGGGCTCAAGTGATCCTTCCACCTCTGCCTCCCATAAAGTGCTGAGCATAGAGATATGAGCCACCTTGCCTGGCCCCTGCCCAGTGTATTGGATGGCACTATAAAGAGCTTGCACAGAGCTAATTGGGGGTTGCCATCCAGAGTGCACTGCCACTCACAGGCCCAGAGAGACCCCTGGGATCCCAACCCCAGGGCAGCACGCTCTCCTCATGCTGTTCGCAGAGAGCAGCAAATAGTTTCTGCTGTGCCCTGGCCCCCTCCCCTCCCTACTACAGGGAGCCTCTCATCCTTAGTGGTGAACTCTGGGTTTTACGAGCGAGGTAGTCAAACAAGAGCGTTCTTTTCAGGAAGTACAGCACATGAATAATTCACAGACAGACAAGATGGGTTCCTATCAGCCCGGTGGTGCCAGACGGTCCCTTGGAGTCCTTCCTCTGTGCCGGGTAGGCTGCTGCGTGCCCTACATAGGATTTTTCCATCTGTCACAACAGCATTGGACCGTGACACATTTATCCAAACGAAGGAAAAATTCCACTCCTGTCAGCCAGCCCACATTTTACGACAATTGGAAGAGTAGATGTTACGGATGCCAGGTTAAATCCATCTACACTTCAAGTTGTATTTTAGAGGCTATTGCTGAGAGCCAGAATGAAACCAGGAGGACACTTAGTCTAATAAACCAGACTTCCCCCTCCAGGTTACTGACCTAAAAGGCAGTTTAGCCCCTAACATGGGCAAAAGAAAATCCCAGGGTTCCTTACTGGCCACCCCCAATAGATGGCTATGAGTAAGGGATCATTTAATTTCAGGGGGTAAAGTCCTTAAAAAGTAATCATGCTATGGCTTTCCAACGTGGAGCTCTTGGTAAAATCTTGGTGGCTCACGCCTGTAATCCCAGCACTTTGGGAGGCTGAGGCGGGTGGATCTGAGGTCAGGAGTTCAAGTTGAAACTCCATCTTTACTAAAAATACAAAAAGCAGCTGGATGTGCTGGCGCACACCTGTAGTCCCAGCTACTGGGGAGGCTTGAGGCAGTAGAATCGCTTGAACCTGGGAGGTGGAGGTTGCAGTGAGCCGAGATCATGACACGGCACTCCAGACTGAGCAACAGAGTGAAACTCTCAAAAACAACAACAACAACAAAAAAAAAAACCTTTGTAAATGATAGTAATTTGCATCATAGATGAATGTGCTTTCAGCAAAGGAGTCCTTGGCTTGTTGAATTCTCACTCTTGCAGCAACTTCACTCATCCTTGGGAAAGCTTCCTGTGTCCGTTACTGATGCCACCACCCACCCCCAGGCACGTTTATCAAGCACGCCCAGACAGAAGCAAAATGCAAGTCATGATTGCCAGTGCTCTTCAGAGCTGGTTTCCTACCAAACACAGAATCGCTTGCTTGCTTTTCTTTCCCCCTCCCTCCCTTCCTTTCCTTCCTCGCTTTCCTTTTTTCTCTCTCCCTCATATTTATGAGACAGAGTCCCACTCTGTTGCCCAAGCTGGAGTGCAGTGGCGTGATCTCAGCTCATTGCAACCTCTGCCTCCTAGCAATTCTGCCTCAGCCTCCCAAGTAGCTGGGATTACAGGCACGCACCATCACGCCCAGCTCATTTTTGTTTTTTTTTTTTTTTTTTTTTTTTGAGACAGAGTTTTGCTCTTGTTACCCAGGCTGGAGTGCAATGGCGCGATCTCGGCTCATCACAACCTCCGCCTCCTGGGTTCAGGCAATTCTCCTGCCTCAGCCTCCTGAGTAGCTGGGATTACAGGCACGCACCACCATGCCCAGCTAATTTTTTGTATTTTTAGTAGAGATGGGGTTTCACTATGTTGACCGGGATGGTCTCGATCTCTTGACCTCGTGATCCACCCGCCTCGGCCTCCCAAAGTGCTGGGATTACAGGCTTGAGCCACCGCGCCCGGCTCATTTTTGTATTTTTAGTGGAGACGGGGTTTTACCATTTTGGCCAGACGGGTCTCAAACTTCTGGCCTCAAGTGATCTGCCAGTCTCGGCCTCCCAAAGTGTTGAGATTACTGGGGTGAGCTAAACTACCACACCCGGCCTATAATTGCTTTTTTTTTTTTTTTTTTTTTTTTGAGTCTTGTCATCCAGGCTGGAGTGCAATGGTGTGATCCAGGCTCACTGCAACCTCCACCTCCCAAATTCAAGTGATTCTCTTGCCTCAGCCTCCCTTACAGGCACCCACCACTACACCCAGCTAATTTATATATATATATATTTTTATTTTATTTTATTTTTTTTGAGACGGAGTTTTGCTCTTGTTACCCAGGCTGGAGTGCAATGGCGCGATCTCAGCTCACCGCAACCTCCGCCTCCTGGGTTCAAGCAATTCTCCTGCCTCAGCCTCCTGAGTAGCTGGGATTACAGGCACGTGCCACCATGCTCAGCTAATTTTTTGTATTTTTAGTAGAGACGGGGTTTCACCATGACCACCAGGATGGTCTCAATCTCTCGACCTCATGATCCACCCGCCTCGGCCTCCCAAAGTGCTAGGATTACAGGCTTGAGCCACCGCGCCCGGCTTATATATATATATATATATATAATTTTTTTTTTTTTTTTTTTTTTTTAGTAGAGAACAGGGTTTCACCATGTTGGCCAGACTGGTCTCGAACTCCTCACCTCAAGTGATCTGCTCACTTAAACCAAGGTCCTAAACCCAGAGGATGTTTCAGCAGTCAGCCTTGTCTGTCACTGGGGACCCCTCCTTCCACCAGAAATCTCGTGAGTCTGCCTGCTTGTCCCTGTTTTCTGTCCCCTGGATACGTGATTCTCATTGTTCTATCTGGGTCCCCTCTCTTCACTCCTCTCTGACTGGCCTCATCCACTCCCACAGTTCCAAGGACGAGGGCAGCCTGACGACCAGCATCACCTCCAGCCTTGATCTCTCTAGCACACACACCTAGGGCCCTCCACTTCACCAGGCCCAGAGCTGAATCTGTCATCTTCCCTCACATTCCTCCTCCACCTGAAGCAGGAGTGGCAGCGAACAAACCTTTCCAACACTGAACTGGGAAGGAAGCGGGAGTTTTATTTGGCCGGGAGCTGTGGCTGGTTCAAGCCTCAATAACCGAGCTACCCAGCTAGAAAACTCTGGCCTTCTTTAAAGGCTCACAATCTTAGAGAGTACATGTGAGAGGGTGACCGATGAGGTGAGTGGGGGTACGTGGACGTCGGTGTGGGGAGGGGTTGCAGGATTGAGGGAGAACGATGGAGGGTGTGTCTCCATCTTACACCTGCAATCTATAGACAGGAGAACCATGAAGCGTTGGGGGTGTGATCTGTAACCTCCAGCTCAGGCCCGGTTTGTCTCTTCCACTGACCTTGTGCCTTCAATCTTCAACTTTCACTTCTCCTTTTGAAATGCAATGGAGAAGGCTAAGGGGAAGCGGTCTTAGAAGCTGAAGAGGGAGGGGGTCTCCTTCCTCCCACCAGCTGGGTCGGCTGTCTCACAAGGGTTCCCTCACCCACTCAGCTGCTGGTACTGAGTCCCCTCCCCATCAGGTCGTGTGAATTCTCCCACCTCCATGGCGCTGGCCCGTCCACTTCTCCCTGTGCCCACCTACTTCTGTACTCAGGGTACCATCACCACTGCTCTGCATGGCAAGGCAGGAGCTCGTCCCTTTTCACAAACTCAAAGGTCCCCTTGTGTCTCTCCACTCCAGCCCCTGCCATGGCAGGGTGCCTCCCCCCTCCCCAGCTTGCTTTCTGGGCACTCTTCCTCTCCTGAGCCACCTGAGAGCTCAGCTTGGCCCTTGCCTTCGCCGAGGCCTGGGTCAGGTGCCCACACCACGCTATGCTGCTCTCCCTGGCTCCTGTTCCTGCTCAGACCTGGAGCCCCTTGAAGGCTAGGACTGTCTTGTCTGCCACCATCCCCAGTGCCTAGCAATGGGCCTTGGAATACTTTGGATTTTGCACATAGCTGGTGCTCAATAAACATTTGCTGTTTTTATTATTATATATATATTTTTTTGAGATGGAGTTTCACTCCTGTTGCCCAGGCTAGAGCGCAGTGGTGCAATCTGGGTTCACTGCAACCTCCGCCTCCTGGGTTCAAGTGATTCTCCTGCCTCGGCCTAATAAGTAGCTGGAATTACAGGCACGCACCACCACACCTGGATAATTTCTGTATTTCTAGTAGAGACGGGGTTTCTCCATGTTGGTTGGCCAGGCTGGTCTCCAACTCCTGACCTCAGGCGATCCACCTGCCTCAGCCTCTCAAAGTGCTGGGATTACAGGGATGAGCCCCTGCACCCAATCTTTTATTTTTGAGAGGAGGTGTTGCTCTGTTATCCAGGCTGGAGCGTGGTGGCATAATCATAGCTCACTGCAGCCTCAACTTCCCAGGCTCGTGATTCTCCTGCTTCAGCCTCACAAGTAGATAGGACTACACCACCACACCAGGCGCATTTTTCAATTTTTATTTTGTAGAGATGGAGGTCTCACTATGTTGCTCAGGCTGGTCTTGAACTCCTGGCCTTAAGTGATCCTCCCACCTAGGCCTCCCAAAGTGCTGGGGTTACGGGCATGAGCCACCACGCCCAGTGGATCTGCTACCTTTGGTGGAGTAAGAAAACAGGAGGCCTCCTGGAACTTGCTCCAGGTTAATTTCCAAGAGTGTTCTCGCTATTGAAATATATGTTAATATATGGTAATCGTAGCTCACTTTAGTCAAGTATGCCAAATAGTAAACAGAAATTAACTTCTAAGAGGGAGAAGGAGAAAACGCGGTCTTTCTGTGATGAATGCAAAGGAACTGGACTGAGTTCTGTTTCTATCTCCAAGAGTTAGTAGAAAGTCACTCCTCTAACTCAGTTTTAATGTCTTGTTTTTGTTTACCAAAATAAAGATGTTGGAAACGGAAGTAAATTTAAAATGGTAACAGGGCAGGGCTCGGTGGTGCACACCTATAATCCCAGCACTTTGGAAGGCAGAGGTGGGAGGGTCGTTTGAGCCCAGAAGGTGGAGACCAGCCTGGGCAAGATGGCAAAACCCCATCTCTACAAAAAATACAAAGATTAGCCAGGCATAGTGGTTGGTGCATGCCTGTAGTCCCAGCTACTCGGGAGGGTGAGGTGGGAGAATGGCTTGAGCCCAGGAGTTGAAGGCTGCAGTGACCCATAATGGCACCACCACACTCCAGCTTGGGCGACAGAGCAAGGTTTTCTCTCAGAATGAACTAACTAAAGGGTTGATTTCCAGTAGCTTTTAAAAAAAGGAGCCGGGCGCGGTGGCTCAAGCCTGTAATCCCAGCACTTTGGGAGGCCGAGGCGGGCGGATCACAAGGTCAAGAGATCGAGACCACCCTGGTCAACATGGTGAAACCCCGTCTCTACTAAAACTACAAAAAATTAGCTGGGCATGGTGGCACATGCCTGTAATCCCAGCTACTCAGGAGGCTGAGGCAGGAGAATTGCCTGAACCCAGGGGGCGGAGGTTGCGGTGAGCCGAGATCGCGCCATTGCACTCCAGCCTGGGTAACAAGAGCGAAACTCCGTCTCACAAAAATAAATAAATAAATAAATAAAAAAGGAGGGGGGTTCTGTAGTAGAATCTCTGGGCACCTGTTTAAATGTGTATTTGGGAGTGATCATAAATGATGCAGAATCTCTGGGGCATCACCAGGGAACTTAGACTTGTTTGTTTTTAAGACTGGGTCTCGGCTGGGCGCGGTGGCTCAAGCCTGTAATCCCAGCACTTTGGGAGGCCAAGGCGGGTGGATCACAAGGTCAAGAGATCGAGACCATCCTGGTCAACAAGGTGAAACCCCGTCTCTACTAAAAATACAAAAAATTAGGTGGGCATGGTGGCACGTGCCTGTAATCCCAGCTACTCAGGAGGCTGAGACAGGAGAATTGCCTGAACCCAGGAGGCGGAGGTTGTGGTGAGCCGAGATTGCGCCATTGTACTCCAGCCCGGGTAACAAGAGCGAAACTCCGTCTCAAAAAAAAAAAAAAAAAAAGACTGGGTCTCACTCTGTTGCCCAAGTTGTAGTGCAATGGAGTGATCATGGCTCACTGCAGACTTGAACTCCTGGCTCAAAGGATCCTCCCACCTTAGCTTCCCGAGTAGCTGGGACTATAGGTGCACACCATCACACTCAGCTAATTTTAAAATTTTTTGTAGAGATGGGGTCTATGTTGCCCAGGCTGGTCTCCATCTCCTGGGCTAAAGCAATCCTTCGGCCTAAGCCTCCCATAGTGCTGGGATTACAGGTGGGAGTTCACTGTGCCTGGCCAAAAGAATTATTGTGCGTGCGGTTTTCTGAGACGGTTGTTACATACACCTCTGTGTTCAGTTCCTGACTCCTCCCACACACGAGCCATGTGAGACATAACTTCATGATTCTCCCCTAATCGTGTGTTTTTTGGGGGGGGCAGGGGCTCTCAGTATTACCCACTCCTTTCTCAATGACACGTTTGTTCCTCTTTTCCCAAATAAATGATGCCCTAAAGACAGACTGTCTCAAGGTCCGGATGACCTATTAACAATGGCCAGAAATGGCTACAGGACACGATCTGCCTAAACATCACCTTCTTCTTCCCACCCAATGGGGGTGAAACCCACCACTAACCTGGCATCCTCTACCTGTGTCACCATGTGCTCACCCACCCCATATGCCTGCAGCCAGCGTCTCTCTTGGCCAGGTGAGCTGGCAGAGGCAGGAAGGGACTTGCCCAGTCCACTGGCTTACCAGAGGCAGGGCTCAAAGCCAGGTCATCCGGTTCCAAGCCCCAGCACCCTCCGCAGCACTGAGGATGCCCACAAGCTGCAGGCTGCAGATTCAGAGCAGGGGCTGTGACCACGTGGAGGCGGGGAGAGGGACGGAAACCAACAGTCCAAAGATAAGAGAAATAAAACTGAAACGCAAACCAGCCTGTCCCAGACAGAGAAAAGCAGGTTTCAAAATGTGCGGCCAGGGCGTGTGCTCCTTTATTAGGGCTGCTTCTCCGTGTCTGCTTCCTGAGAAAGAAAATGCCTATGACTATGAACCAATGAAGGGACAGGAGCTATCACAGACGCCACAGGGCTCAGCAAGGGGCCGGGGAAATCTACACAGAAGTAAAAGCAACGTCAAATGTTTCTGGGTTTCCTTTCTCTTCACCTAAAACCACTATTTCCTTAATTCTATCTAAGTGTGTATAGGGCACAAAATATACTTAGGAACTTGGAGCTAAATCATCCAAAAATGGAGCCAAGGCCCTACCTAGAAACTCTCTCTGTTGCCCGTTGGCCTGAAAACATGGAGGTCAAAGGTTGGTCTCAGCTCCCCCCAGGCACCCTGGCTCCCAGCACAGTGCCCCGCCTCTGTGTTTATCATCATCGTTTTTTACGGGACAGGGTCTCACTCTATTGCCCAGGTTGGCCTTGAATCCCTGGACTCAAGCAGTCCTCCCACCTTGGCCTTCCGAGTAGCTGGGATTCTAGGCACTCGCTGCTGCGCCAGGCTGCCCTGCTCTCTGCAGGTGCCTTCTCTGCACGGGCCTAGTGCCTGAACACTGATCTGGGGCTGCACCACCTGAGGACACAGCAGATCCACCCCCTCTCCTCCAGCCCAGTTGCTGTGACCCCAAGGAAAGACCTGGGCAGTTTCAGTCCTGAGGAGCTCCACCCAACTGACAGAGTCCTGCCACTCAGCCCGTTTGTTTAGACCCCCTTCCACCTCGGGATGAAAACGCAGCTGTTGGTAAAGAATCCCAGATCGGCTGGGATTCCCCCGCCCTCTGCTCTGGCTCAGCCCAGCCTGGATTCTCCAGGTGCTCATCCTCTGGCCACCCGCTCTTCCTCCACAACACTTTCCACACACCGCACGCCCCTCCTGTGGCCCAGTCCTCCCTGCGCACACCTGGGGCTTCCCAGAACACATGGGGCACCGGGAGCTGTGGTGGGAGCAGACCCTCTGGGGCATGGTCCCCACTTCCCACGGGGGTAAGTGGGGGTCTGGGCTGGCAACAAGGGCCAGCCCCACAGCTGAGGACATCTTCTCACTGAGCCTGGGACCAGGTCCGCATAACGGGGCCTGTGGAGTCTTCAGTCCCCGTGGGAATGGTGGCATCTCCTAGCCTTCTCCAGAGTATCTGACTCACAGTCCACACATCCCAACAAAACCCAAGGGTGCTCTGCTCTTTACTAAATAAATGTTCTTTTCCCAGAAACCAGTCCCAAACTCATTGCCGTTCAAATATGACAAGGCGAGGCTCTCTGTCCCCTTTTACCAGGAGCGTGGATGGCGTCTGCAAGGCAGTGCCTTCGTGTGCCAGGGAGGTGGCCCCTCAGCCTCCCAACCCTGCTACAGACAGGACTTCGAGCAGCTCGGGAGGGTCTCCTTTGCTGTCCATCCAGCGGGACCTCTTGGGGGGAGAAAGCCAAACAGCCGCCTTTCCCTTCTGCTCTCAGCACGAGCTGGGTTCCAGGCAGCGGCTGCAGCAGACGTCATCGCCCCATGATGAAGCTGGGCACCTCCTCCTCCTCCTCTGTTCCAGACGCCTCCGCAGAGCTGCTGGACCCCTGCTCCTCAGGCTGACTGGGCCCTGTAACCACATGACATTCAATTGACAGATATGTAAAATCGTTCAGGGTCAAGTGTGCTTTCAAAGAGGAGAGCCGATGAGAAGTCAGGAAGTCCCCATTCATGGACCACACAGTGAGAAACCAGGGCCACGCCTCACGCCTGACAGTCCCCGGGGCCATTCCCTGAGTAAGGGTTGGTCACAGGCCTGATCTACCGCTGCTCTGCCGGGTACACCCCATCCTTACCCAAAGGCCCAGAGGCACATGCAAGATCTGACACCCCATAACCAAGGCCCTACTGCTTTTACATGGCTTCCGCCCCCTGCCATGTCCACCTCCTGGGTGGGCGACTTCCCGACCCAGCTCTTCAACACCAGGCTGACAATCTTCTCACTCAAGTCTCAAGTTCTACTGCCGTCTGCAAAACGATTTCTGAAACCTGTGTGGCACAGGGCTCTGCCCCTACACATATGCCAGCTTCCTGGCTCCTCCCAAGCATGGCCTAGGAACCCCCTCCTGACACCTGTGTGCACCTGTCCCGTCATGACTGCCAGCCAGAAGCAAAGCAGGAGGACAACGTGTTCCTAACACGTCCTCCCCCCATCTTCATGTGGGAGCAGGAGGACAAGTGAGAGTTGGAAAGGCAGAGGCAGGGGCCACAAGGCAACTGATGGCCCAGCTCAGCCACACCAGGCCGCTGCCCGCAGGCACGGTGGCCTCAGCAACTCACAAGTGGGTGGGCGTGCCCAGGCCGGCCAATGGCTCCTCCCTGCACGTGCGCAGGTGTCGCACTGGCCACCACACGCCCACTACACACCCTGAGCTTTGCTACTGCTGTGTCACCACAGGTCAGACAAAGGGCCTCTAAACAGGAGACCCTGCACGGCCAAAGGCACAGCCCAGCCTAAAATTCAATGCCATACCCAGAAAGAACACAAAAAGCACTGGCAAAAGCAGCCGGAAGACTGAGTTTCATTAATTTGGGCATCCCTTCTTTCCCCTAACCTCATACCACACAGAATGACTAGCTTCAAAAGTTCAAATGGGGAAGCCGGGCGCAATGGCTCACACCCTGTAATTCCAGCACTTTGGGAGGCCGAGGCAGGTGGATCACTTGAGGATAGGAGTTTGAGACCAGCCTGGCCAACATGGTAAAACCCAGTCTCTACTAAAAATACAAAAAAATTTAGCAAGGCATGGTGGTGCAGGCCTGTAATCCCAGCTACTCGGGAGGCTGAGGCAGAAGAATTGCTTGAACCTGGGAGGCAGAGGTTGCAATGAGCCAAGATCGTGCCATTGCACTCTAGCCTGGATGACAGAGCAAGATTTCATCTCAAAAAAAAAAAAAGCATAGGATCTGATCTTTAATTGTGATCTTGATGAATTGTAGTACATTGAACTGGATGTTTGTGGAAGGGAATAATACAGGAGGACTCAAAGGATTCCCTGTGGCTGAAAAACCTCTGAAAATGCCGTATAGGCTGTGAATCCCTTATCCAAAATGCTCGGTACCAGAAATGTTTCAGATTTCAGATGTTTTCAGATTTTGGAATGAGATATCTTGGGGATGGGACCCGAGTTTAAACATGAAATTCATTTACGTTTCATATATCCCCCATACACTTAGCCTGAAGGTAAATGTAACATTTAAAAATAATTTTGTGTGAGAATCATGCAGGCACAGTTGTGACCTGGGTCGCCAAGATGTCACTCTGGCGTGCCTGGCTACTCTGCCCCAACCCTCGACTCAGCCAAATACCACGTTATCTCCAGAAACCCGGCGGACGCAAGTCGAGCAGGTTGGCCACAAGGGCCCGGATGAAGTGGGAGTACCCGCTTCAGTACAACCACCCCAACCACCGAGGAGCCATCCAAGATCCTGCCTTGGTTTGCTGGACCTCTGCAAGATCAACAATGTCTACCCTAATTTCAGACCCACTCCTAAAAACTCACGCTTGGGAGCTCTGTGTGCATTTGGGCCCCTCTTCTTCTGGAATTGTGTTTTCAAAAGTGACAGAGATAGAAAAACTTAGCCAGGAAGGAAAACTGGATCCGAACATTTAACCTCTCATATTAAGTCCGGAAAGATGACTGTATGTATTCCTGCCTAAATAAATCGCCTATTAATCAAAATAATAATAATAATTTTGTGGCTGGGTGCGGTGGCTCAAGCCTGTAATCCTAGCACTTTTGGAGGCCAAGGCAGGCGGATCACTTCAGAAGAATCGCTTGAACCTGGGAGGCAGAGGTTGGAATGAGCCAAGATCGCACCATTGCACTCCAGCCTGGGTGACAGAGCAAGACTTTGTCTCAAAAAACAAAAACAAAAACAAAAACAAAAAACATAGGGTCTGATCAGTTTGAGACCAGCCTGGCCAACATGGGGACACCTATTCTCTATAAACATACAAAAATTAGTCAGGTGTGGTGGCATGTGCCTGTAGTCCCAGCTAATCACGAAACGGGGACAGGAGAATCACCTGAACCCAGGAGGCAGAGGTTGCAGCGAGCCAAGATTGTGCCACTGCACTCCAGCCTGGGCGATAGAGCAAGACTCCATCTCAAATAATAATAATATTTTTGTGCATGAAACAGTTGTGTATGATGAACCATCAGAAAGCAAAGGAGTCTGTCTATCCCCCACGTGGCTGATCTGTGGTTTGGCGTCACCATCATTTCTGACTCTGAATTTATTTGCTACTTGTAAGCAATTCTTTCCATAATACTTATTCACACAGAGTGCTTAACAGTAATAAATACGACGGGACATTCATAGAGTGGAAAATAGTATGATCAGAATAATTAAGCAGCAGTTGCATCACAGGAACACCTGGATCAGCGGTTAAATGGTAACAATGGGCTTTCAATCCCTGCCAACGATGCTGTGTCCAGATTAAAGGTTACTGGACACTGTCATTTTATTTTTTTTGAGACAGTCTCACTCTGTCACCAGGCTGGAGTACAGTGGCACAATCTTGGCTCACTGCAATCTCCGCCTCCTGGGGTCAAGTAATTCTCCTGCCTCAGCCTCCCGAGTAGCTGGGATTACAGGCACCCACCACCACGCCCGGCTAATTTTTAGTAGAGCTGGGGTTTCACCATGTTGTCCAGGCTGGTCTCGAACTCCTGACCTCCAGTGATCCACTTGCCTCTGTGGGTCAAGATAGCCAGGGGCAGACCTATGTTATTTCTAGTCAAATAGTTACAAGCTTGCATTGCTGATTGTACACTATAGTTTATACCCTGAACTAAGCTATATCAAATATTGGTGCAATAAAATATAAATCAAGCGGCAACAAGAGGCCTAAGGTAAAGACCATCAGAGCGCCGTGAAACCGTGGGAACCCGCGGGGTGGCTGCAGAGCAGGAAATATCGCTTTGGTCCCCCGAATGCCTTCTCAACATGAAGGTCGCATGAGGGTCTGGTAGAGAGGGCTTGTATAAGATCTCTGAGAAGGGAGGTGACCTCTGCTCACAAGATCGGGGAGGGTCTTTGCAGATGGCAGCTGGCAAGGAGGAAAAGCCTTGCAGGGCAGAGACGACCGGAACACCATGGGTTCTGCCTAGGTTCTCAGAATATGGAGTACTCTTGATTGCTGTGTCCTCAAAGCTGGGAGATAAAAGCCTGTGGATGCACTGGGTGTGGTCAAACCCGGTGGAGCCTTAGCCGCTATGCTTCTCATGCAAATGCACCTTGGTAGCAACCGGTGGTAGAACTGAGTGTTGTAGGTTTGCGTAAAGAATCACCACTGAATACTGCAGACCACACCTCCCCTTCTTGGCTATCTTGCCCACATTAGTTTCAAGGCCTCCCCTGATCATCCCTCCCTGCTCCCCCACCCCTCATTTAACAAGCGTATACACCTAATAAAAGCCCTGTGGAGGAAACCAGGGCGGATCACCCCGCTTGAATCCATGCTGTGAACTTCCACTCTTGTATCTTTATTTCCTTTTCTCACTCCCTCGTCACCGCCAGGACACGGAGCACCCAGGCACAGAGTTGGGCTGGTTCTCAACATGCCTCGGCCTCCTAAAGTGCTGGGATTACAGGCACGAGCCACCCCACCTGGCCTGGACACTATTTTATTCTTTTTTGTTGCTGCTGTTGTTTCTGAGACAGGGTCTCGCTCTGTTACCCAGGCTGGAGTGCAGTGGTGTGATCACAGCTCACTGTAGCCTCCTGAGTAGCTGAGACTATGGGTGTGTGCCACAACACCTGGCTAATTTTTGTATTTTTTGTAGAGAGGAGGTCTCGACCATGTTTCCCAGGCGGGTCTCAAACTCCTGGGCTCAAGTGATCCTCCCTCCTTAACCTCCCATAGTGCTGGGATTACAGGCAGGAGCCAACTCCCCAGCCTCATTTTTCAATTCTTCATCAACTTCTGTTCACTGCTTTTGGCATTTCAATCGTTCACCCTTCTGCTTCTTCAGGTGTGTGTGGCAGTCATTCTTGGCTTTCTGGGCTACAGATACACATAAATATTTCCTCTTTTTCCTATCACTGTTACCCACAGGGGAATCTGCAGCCTTTTTGAGTTTTCAATACCGTATGTCAGGTCTCCATGTGCAAGCCTGGACCCAGAAAGTCTGAAGTCCTGCCTGCCTCCGAGGACCACCCCTCAATCCCCAACCCCCAACCCCCAACCCCCGCCTGCGCTGGCCATCATCTCTGATCACCATTTCCAACCCCATCCTGCCTCTGTTCTTATGAGAATGTGAATACTCCTCGCCACACCTACCTACCATCCTTTTTTTTTTTTTTGAGGCGGAGTTTCGCTCTTGTTACCCAGGCTGGCGTGCAATGGCACAATCTAGGCTCACCGCAACCTCCGCCTCCTGGGTTCAGGCAATTCTCCTGCCTCAGCCTCCTGAGTAGCTGGGATTACAGGCACGCACCACCATGCCCAGCTAATTTTTTTTTGTATTTTTAGTAGAGACGGGGTTTCCCCATGTTGACCAGGATGGTCTTGATCTCTTGACCTCGTGATCCACCCGCCTCGGCCTCCCAAAGTGCTGGGAT